TTTCTGAGAACGAAGATGAAGTGTCACATCTGCCATGGCCCCCACAATTGCCAGATATCAATATTATTGAGCCTTCGTGGTCTGTTTTGGAGAGCAATCTGCGTGCGCGCTATCCACCTCCATCATCGATAACAGAACTTACCATGTTTTTCAGGAAGAATGGTACAAGATTCCCTTGCAAGTCATACAGGAACTTTATTTATCCATTCCAAGGAGACTGCAAGCAGTTCTGCAAGCCAGAGATTGTCCTACACCATATTAGTCACGGTAATGTGTTTTTTGTTGGGTGTTTCCATATTTTCGTCCATCCCCTGTATATTAAGTAGGCATATCCTGGTCTCATTTTTAGAGGAAATAAAACAAACTCGGTCTCAATTTCTCTCATTTTTCAGCCCCAAAGACAAGTTATTGGGAGAGGGGGACTATACTTGCTTTGTTCACCAGGGTCCATGTCATAAGGTATCATACGAGGGATATCCAGTACAGTAAAAATGCAAGTTTTTTTTTTAAAAGAAATGGCAGGGCTGCTGTGTAAGATAGGAACTGTTTGACAAGGCTGAGTTCACCGGCCACAGTCATGGGAACGGTGTGCTTGCAGTTTGTGTTTAAAATGGTTGTGTTGATTCCAAATCCCACCAAATGTGAGATTCGTGCAGTAATGCAATTTCTTCATTCAAAAGGGGAAACTGCTGCTTGAAATTCATTGCCAACTTCTTTCTGTTTATGGCGAAGATATTATGAACAGGCAGAATGTGGCAAAATGGTGTAGTGAATTTGATGCCGGAAGAAATGATGTTCATGATGAAATAAGGGGTGGTAGGCCATCCGTTGTCACTGATGAAATTGTCCAAAAATTGATGAAAACATTCGTGCTGACAGACGCTTAACCATCAGTGAACTTCATTAACAATGCCCAGAAGTGTTAAGAATTGTTCTCCATGTCTAAGAGAGCAGGCAGGAGATTTCTGTGACACTGGAATAAAAAACTCATTCCCAGGCTCACAAAGTGCATTGTGATTTATGGTGATTGTAGAAAAGTAAATAAAGGTGTGTTGTAAAAGTGCTACAAGTGAATCCCTCTAAGAAAATGCTTTGCAATTATTTTCTGTACTTTGTATCTTTACTATCCAGATATAATTCTTATTTGCTCAAATGCACCCCCGCTTCCCCCACCCCCCAAGAGTTATTACACTCTGGGTCATTATGAATTTGATGATATACATGGTTGTAATCTGTTTTAATCTTTCTGTGTGTTCATGCCAAGGTGTGCATTGGATCATACTGTGAGAGGAGAAAGCAGAGTGACAAATATGTTTCAAGGTCAGAAGCAATGAGCTGCCAAAAAGTTGCTGGAAACATCGCAAAAGTATGGAATCTGCAGTGGTAATGCACTGCTTTATTTCACAAGTTCCTGTGCAGGTGTTTCTCATCATAAAAATGGTAGATTATGTCAAGAGAACAAGTACCACCGTAAACATGCACAACAAACAGCTGTGAAGCAGCAAGACAGGTGTGTCTACCAAGGCTAAAATACCCAATGGTGAAAACAACATAAACAGAATCTTCTGCCAGCTACATGAATGTGTTCATTTATATGGACTCGAATGCAGAATTTAATGTCAGTTTCACGTAATACCTTTAAACTCAACAAGTGCAGAAGTTTAAATCAAGCACAGGATGGTGCATGCAAATCATGTGGAGGAACAGATTTCCTTTACTTCGCAAGAATTTATCATCATGCTCTGAAGCAAAAGGAGTGAAACTCCGATGCATATTGGTATGCCATCCTAATTATCCCATTGATGATATGATTCCAAAGTGTGTTATAGAGCCATGAAGCAGTAAGAAGCATCGAGTGGCTGTATTGTTGACAGGGTTGACAGACAACATGAAACTGCCAGTGTATATGATACTGAGTGTGTGGTATTTGTCTGAGATGAACCTGCCTGTGGGGCTAATGATTAGACATTAAACTATGAGATGGATGATGGGGGACTGTTTACAAGTTGCTTGGAATAGGAGACAGAACGTTGCTGAGAGAATAAGGATTGCTTGTCCTGGTTACATTCAAAGGTTTAAGTTTGGATGTCAGAGCTGTGATTCGTGCAAGACCTTGTGGAAGGATGACCTCATAACTACATGTTCTAATGAATAAGCCTTTTAAGGATCAGTTGGAACAATTATATTCAGTTTGATTTAGCAGGGAACTACATTCTGACACCCAGGACAATAAAGAAGGCCAGTGTAGAATTGCACTGCTAGCTGATTAGGACCTCTGTCCAGAGTGATAGTGAAAGGAATCAGGAAGTGCCATATGTCTAATGTAATGGATGGAAATAAGGATGAGGAATAAATTTGGAACGTAGCTTTGAATATGAAAGAGTGAACAGTGAATGCAAGACAGAAGATGGGAATTTTGAAGGCACCAAAGATGAGACTGACAGTAGGAATGGTTAATAAAGTGAGATGGGTTAAAATAAATAAAGACTAGTGACTTATGGAAACTAACCCCATTAATGTTACATATAACATGTTTTATAATATTTCTTTTCCTTCGGATGTTTGTAGAAGGTGTATAAAGTGAATTCATAAAAGTACTTCTTTTCTGCAGACATGTTTTCTAGTGCAATATTCAGAATAACTCAATTTTTAGTAAATTGGCTGTACACTTCAGTTCATTGTGAAAAGTGGCTAGTGTTATGTAAATTATTATAGCAAAATAAAGTTTGTCTAGTAAAGAGAGTTCTCTTTCTCTCCCCATCTCACGCTTGAAAAGTCATTCTTACATATGCTTAATTTTAATCCTGGCTCAGGATAGAGACCAGTGGAGGGCTCTTGTGAACACGGTAATGAACCTTTGGGTTCCATAAAATGCTGGGAAGTTCTTGAGTAGCTGCAGAATTGGTGGCTCCTCCAGAAGGGCTCAGCTCCATGAGTGAGTAAGTAAGTAATTGTTTAGCCTTCACCAAAGAGGAAATAAAAACCTATGAACATCAGAAATACTCATTCAGTCATTCAGGTTTTAAATATTACACACACAGATGAGGGTAAAGTATAGCAAGTGAAAAATGAACAAACGAAAACATCAGGAAAGCGCTTTGTCTTTTTTTTTTCCTCCAGAAAACTCACATGCATGATTTGAATCAGAGAGGTCCCACGTTTAATTGTTCCACTGTAGGGTTTGTACAGGCAGTTAATGAACATTGATGTAGTTTTTTGGAAGATGATAACGCATTTAGAAAATTAAATGAAATGAATTAGGAGTACACTTTCTCCTTTTGCATATTACAAGATGACCTGTTTTAAGCAGTATTGCTTGTGGCCTTCATAAAATATTTTCTTTTTTATTTGCCATTTACAGTGCACTTTCTTTTGCTGTACAGCAGTATGGATTGTGTGTGCATTTGCCCAGCATGAACTCCAAATTAATGATATAATTTCATCAGGATTTGTCAAATCATTCGGGATTAAATTCCTGGTTGCCCGTTTCACCTTTTAAGAATAACAGTATATTGACAGTATCATAAAATACCTCCAGCACCTTTGCACAATTCTCGTGACATTTGACATGTTACATATCTTCAAATGAACTTGACACATAAGGAGGTGCCCTGTTTGAATCTCAGCTCAATTTGCAGGTATCCTGACTGAAATAGTTTGCTGTTTTCTTAATTGTGCCCAGGCAAATGACAGGATAGTGCATTGGAATCTCCTTCCACCACCTTATTCACTCACTGATCCTAATTATGATCATCACCTTCCCATTTCATTTGACAGTTAAAAACTGCAGAATCCTACAGAATTGTGGATGTGATGATGTGGACTGTTACAGCCCATCAGATGCAACAGCCTATTTGGTTTGATATTACAGTGTCTGACAGTAAAGTTTCAGGATAAGTGTGGAAAAATACACAGAAATGCAAATTTGTTTCATTTCTGTTCAACATAATATCTGCCAACTTGAATAAATTTGTTGCATCATTTAAAAAGTTTTTGAAAACTGCAAATGAAGAGGGTTTAATTAGGCCAAGATGTTTTTCTGAATGTGTTGAACATCCTGAAACCTATTTCCTTTGAGGGCAGTTTTCATCTTAAGAAAGAGAAAATTACCATAAATAAATTTGGGATTGTCTTGACAAGTCTGGATGAAGCCTTGGCATGATGTGAATCTCCATTGCTTCCACTTATCCTCGAGTTTGTGTGACAGAATTTGTGCAGACTCTCCACTTTCGTAAATCTTCATGGAGGATTGATGATTTGTATCCTTGTTCATGTCTAATGCTTCTGCCATCATTCTAAGAGTCCATCAGTGATCTGATGTCACCATTTCATGGAGATTTGCAATTGTATCTGCATTTAGAGAGGATGAAGGTGTCCTGCTTCTTGGATCATCCTGAAGATCCTCATGCCCATCTTTAGATCATTTAAAGGATTCAAATACCATTATAAATACCTGTGTACGAAAGAAACCATTGTCACCACAAGCCTATATTATCAGCTGGAAAGTTTTAGTAGCTGTTTTACCCATCTTGAAACAAAACTTAATGTTTGCTGTTTGTTCCATCGCCACAAACTGTCACAACAATCTGCTGTGCTATAAAGCAATAAGCATGACTGATCATGGACGACAAGAGAGAAGTTACTGACCTTATACAGGGAATGCAGTGGAAGAATCAGCTTAGACAGGTTGAAACATGTTTCTGCATGCTTTTAAATGCACATAATAAACTCAGTCCCGGAATTTATCAGACCGTATATATAAGTGCCATAAATTTAGTTGTTATTGGTACCTATTGATTGCCGAGGTCAGGAGTACTTGGATCTATACATATACTCCTCCCTAAGCTTTCATGGTGTAGTGCTTAATTAGCCATGCAAAAGGGAAACTTTACCTTATATGTTAAACCAGTTGTGCTTAATGAGAATAATTGCTTCTGGTAGTACTATTTTTAAGTTTCAGAGGGGATTTAAGGTGATGATGTTTTACATGTGTGTTTCAGCAATTCCAGTTGCTACTTTAGGCCCCACTCCACAGCAGCAGACACTGACAGGCGTGCAGGTGAAACAGTCGGATGGTGTACAGAGGTTTTCTGTACCAGCGGGATTTGCCCAACTGGTGCAGACTTCAACAGGACGCCACATTTTACTTACACCATCCACACAAGTGATTCAACCATTGTCACAGAATCCAGGAACAACTACAGGTGAATGAAATATATCTTTCACTGAGGAAAGTGTACTAGGAATGAAGATTACTTAACAAGGAAATCATATTTTATATTTTGTACATATCTCTTAAATATATGCAAGTGAAAGCAGGCTTATTTATCAGACTAGAATGTTCTGCTTATAGATGAGTTCTGCTCTAGTCATTGAATCTACAGAGAAAGGATGATCATCAGGAAACTGGTTACTATTTTTGTCTTCTGTCAGAACAGGCCATCAGCAGACAGAACTTGGATCAAGTCCCATATGAATTAAATAGAATTAAGTATTTGGATTTTAAAATAACTATAGTACAAGAAGAATTTTTAACAACTATTCAACTTAGATTGTGATCAAGTTGCTAGCCCTCATGGTTTATATTTATATTATCTTGGCCCGGAGACTGGTTATTCTGACTAATGTCTTCTGAGAATCTAGTTGCCAGATCATAGGACCTGGGTACAGTTCAGTGTTAACACATTGGTGACTGGTTGTACTGCTCAGTTACACCCCCTGAGTACTGGAGTGATTTAAACCTGCATTGCCTGTAACTACACTACATCGTTCACTTTGCAATAACTTTTTTCTTTGTTCAAGATAAACTCTTCAAACTTTTTGTGTGTACTTAATTTTGTTGGTAATTTAGTAGGGTATACCTCTGGAAGGAAATGCTGCATACATGTCTACAAGGCTTCTCTAGGATCAAGAACTAAGAAGTTTTCATTCTTACACATAAATGGCACTACCTAGTGGAGAGTGAATGTGTGCATGAAAAGAGCCTGGAGACATCTTGCCTCCAGGTTGCAGGATAATTGAATTTGCTCATGATGTCTCCCTTTTCACCTCGTTAGCATTGCTGGAAGCATCCTGAAGGGTCACAGAAGGAGTCAGTGAAGTTGACGAGGCACTGCAGACCTAAGGCCTAGAGATATGTCTGCCTGAGCAACTGAGACTTTTACAAAAAAGAAAATGAAGGGGAAAGAGGAAGAAGGACCATGATGATCACTTGACTATTAAAGTGAGCGTGTGTTGTACCTACTTCAGAAAAGGTTAAATTTCTAGGCCTGCCACTTTACCAGCTCTGAAATGGAAACAGTGTGTTGCAGGGACCATGCAGTTGACATCCCGAGTTGGCAGACACGCGCATTGCAGAGCAGATCCCCTCGTCCTTCGCCTTTACAAAGAAGCATTTTCATTCACGAGCTCTATAATTCGTAGAAGGTCCTAATCGAGAAAATCCAGTTGAAATCACTTAAAAGTGCTGTGGGACCTGCAAACATTGTACTGAGGGCAGCCAAAATTCCTCCTTTCGAGATTTGATACTGTTATTTAGTTCACAGCTTCATCATGAGAATGCTCACAAACAAGGCCCACCCTCTCCACTGGAGGAGATTATACACGTAGACTGGATGGAAAATCCAGTTAAGATTGATAGAGTAGACATGGTACCCCTCTTTGATGCATTTAGGGATATTGACCCTAAGGAGCACTTAATAGTAAAACTCTCACTACCATTGTGTTGTGAAACTGCACTTACCTCTATCATGAGTAGACCAAGTTTTGGGATTGATAGAGAAATGATGCTCTCTGCATCATCAGAGCTCATCCCTCTTCTCTTGGGAATGTTTTTGAGGAGGAGCTGAGGCAGACCAGGAGCCTTTTCACAGATGGCTTCAAATCAGGAGAAGGGCCCTTTGGGGGTTATTCCATCTTCAGCTGTAATGAAGACAAAGTCTGGGGCTTCAGGACATCACAGATCGCTTCCATATTTACCTTGGAAGCCACATGTTTACTTTGGAGGTCATGGCCATCTCCGAGTCTCTCACCCGTATCAAGGAAATACAAGGCAGTAACATTAGTATATTTTCAGACTCAGGAGCATGATGACTGTAATCTCATTATAAAAACATCAAGATCCACTCATTTGTCATACTAAGGAACAGCTTGCAGAGACCAAGGCAGCCAGGAAACATGTTAAGGTGCATTGGATCCCAGCCCAAGGAGGAATTGCTGGGAATGGGAAAGTGGATGATCTAGCCAAGCATAGTTTCAGGCATGGGAGAGGTAGCCAAATCCCTGTTCCAGTTGAGAACATGAAAAGCGCATGGAGGAAAATATCCAAAGAGGAATCCCAGATGTGGCACCAGGCAGTGGGATGGGTCAAGGGACAGCAATACTTTGTGTTGTTCCATGATAATGCCAAATGCAAACTAAACAGAAGAGTGTTTTACCTCAGTCTTCCACATCCAAAGTGGTCACACAGCCCTGGCGCATAATCTGGCACATTTTAATATAGTTTCAAATGGGAGCTACACATGCGAAACATTTGAAGAAACCCCTGACCTTGTCTTCTGGCAATGTCAGTGGTTCACAAAAGAGAGGAAGAACATTACCAGAGGATTGCTAAAATGGTGGAACATACTTCCCCTGAAAGTGGACATGATTTTGACCAGCATGGACCCAAGTGATGTTTACATAGTTGGAGCCTCCATCAATGCAAGCAAGATAAGAATGTAAAAGGTCCACATACTTAACAGCTACCTCCGTCAACAATATGGGGAGTCCAGATCAAAGTAAAACCGTGCTTGATAGGCTAGACATATAAGAAGCCAAAACAATATAGGGTTTTCACTAGGCCACACGGAAATGGATTTAGTTCTTAGTGTAAGATAAGCTACTATGTGGATAAAAATAAGAATAAAAGGAATAACCACTGAAATGGTGCCGAGCTTAGTATGCTTTTACCTCCAAAGCTCCAAATAATCCTGTACTTTATTTATGTCAGTAAAATAAAGTGTGTGTGAAGACACCAAATCTCCGGCCCAAGAATTAATCACTGGTTACCAGAATTACCAATGTTTTAATTTCTGTAACTTCTGGCCTACACAACTTGACACATGGCTACAGGATTGTGTATGTTTCAGTGATGACTGCAAGTGGACATCGGCTGACTGTACTTTCAAAATCAGTGAGTGGTGTGGCAACAACTACAGTGACAACAGTGAACCGTATGATCTCCTCTGGTCAGACTACACCCACGTCCGTGGCTCGGCCAGTAATGAGGGTTCCTCCTGTCAACATGTCATTGGGAGCTCAGACAACCCTGGGTACTCTTGTGAACACGGTGGTAGCAGGAACTATGACAGTAACAACCACTACCACAGTGACGTCCACGAAGACATGTACTGCTGTCACCCAGCCTGTTCTAGCTGCTCTAGTCCAACAGTCTCAAAGGAACAATACCATGCACACATATTCACCATCAGCATCAAGTAGTATAGTGACACGAAATGAGACAAAGATAGCAGAACAACAGAAACGGAAACAGGAGTTGCAAGCAGAAACTCACTCTGTTTTTTATTTGGTGAGTGGGTGGATTTTGAGGAGTGGGATATCAGAGCTAGTTTTCAGAATGGAAGGTTTAGAATAGGGCTAAAACACATCAGCAGTTGCCTCTTGGATTGCTAGTGAAAACCATGCTAGCCAGCCTTTGGTAATGGATATATGGATCATGATGCAGTGAAACCACAATGTTAGGTTCCTACATTTAAGGGCATTGTTTTCAGTCTTTGCCAAATATTCAGATAACAAATTTATTACTTTTCCTGATTTAGTATCTGTAGATTTTAAGATTTACCTGTGTTGTATGTATGGAAGTTTGCTTCCTACATAGACACAGTTTGGTATAGGGACAATTTTGGTGTGTTCAAAGATTACTCGCTTGTGGCCAGACTTATTCAAGGTCACCACCTGCATAATGTCACTAGCAACAGTCACACAATGTTATGTACTGTGTGTTTTGTTTGTGTTAATAATATTCACAGTGTTCTTGTTAATATTTTTTTTTTTTTTTTTTTGGAAGTTACCTTATGAGCAAGACAATGACAAGGAGGAAGCTCACTGTAGGTGAGAAAATTGGATCAATCAGGGTGTGGAAATAATCTGGTAAATTGTATATAATGATATTTGTATTCTGAGTGATCATGTTTTTAAGTATACAGTTTGTAATTTGTGATGCTAATTACTTTGTTAAACTTTTGAGGGTTTTTACCTTAATTATTCAAAACTGCAGTTTCACAGCACTCTCCAGTTGTGGTTTTTCTCAGTGTAAGGTAAACCCTCCCCCTGCTGTAGGATATTTTGCTAGTGTGTGAATGTAAGCTGTGAACGTGTGCATGTGTTGTATTGGGGAGGTACCACTGAAATGGTATATTGCAATCATCAGAGCTCTTTCTGCAAATCATTCTGGAAATCAGACCAACAAAGCTCAGATAATGTGTGGAAAGCTCACAGACATTTACATCATAGTATGTAGTTGAATGTAGTAGGTTGATTATAAACTTGATAGTGTATGTTGGTAGTGCATTATATGTGATTTTATATGTGCATGCATGCTAAATTACTTTTCCTTCATGTTTCATGTCTACATGGCAGCCTGAATTAGAAGTTAAGAAGCAGTTGCGGAGGAAAGCAAAATTAGAAATGTTGAATCGATTCAACATGCGTCGATGTGCTGCATGCCCAATCTATGGTTCAGATCTTATAGAGGCTATGAGAATTGTTGACATGGTAGACCCTCACCCAGGGGACTTCAGAGGGGCTGGATATGTGCATTGCCTGAATGCCCTGAAAGAAACCGGCCACAGACCAGATGGATTTTGGACACAGACAGAACATCTCATGTCTCTAGTTCATACCCCGCAGCGTTATGTTAATGAACTCAGAGATATTTTTTCAAGGTATGTTTGAGTGCCTGAATGCACAAAGCAGGGTACTTCAGCCACGACGACCACACTCATCAGTGTACAGATCGATGCACTTCGGATGTTAAAGGTTAAAGAATATGTCATGGTTTCTCAAACTGTGAGTTGCGACCTATTCAAAGCGGGTAGTTCTCAAGAAAAATAAAAAATATAGTTTGTATCCATGCATAGTTTTGATAAGTGAGTAAGATTTTTATATAAGCGCCTTCAGAAGAAGTAGTAGCAAGTGGGAAAACATTTGCAAATTTTTTTGTAACTGTACAATAGCTATTTATAGCTTATTATTGATGCAGACATGTTGTAAATCTCTTCACCTTTCTGCTCTGTACAACCTGTTGGGGACCTGTAGGGGTGCTGATAAGTCTTTTCCTGTTTCACCTACTCTTATACTAATAATACTTTTATCACATCAATTTTTTTTTTTTGTATATGTGTGACCTAATTTTCATAATTGTAGCATGATTATTTAATGTTTGTTGTGGATCTGAAATGAAAATGGCACAAAACATTGGAGATTTCACTGCAAAGAGTGGAGAGTGGTGATGAAATACCTTTTCCTGAAAGGGAACTTGGCCAAAAAGATTTACATTGTTATGTGGGTTACATTATGTGATAAGAGCCCTACCTACTCCACAGTCAAGAACTGGATTGCTAGGTTTAGAGCAGGATATTTGAGCACTGAAGACGAAGAACATTCTGAGAAACCAACTCAAGTAACAATTCCAGAAAATGTGGATGCCATTCATTCCATGATCCTGGACGAATATCAGTTAGAAAGATAGCATAAACTCTGGCGATACCTCGAGAAAGAGTAGGCTGTTTCATTCATGAGATTTTAGACATGAGGAAGGTCTCAGCCAAATGGGTTCCCAAATGTGTCTATGGTGGTCAGAAGTGTGATCGACTGCTTGCTTCACAAGCCATTTTGGGCCAATTTTGGCTGGATCCTGTTGGATTTTTGAACTGTCGTGTAACTATGGATGAAACTTGGATCCATGTGTATGATCCAGTGACCAAAGAACAATCCAAGGAATGGACACAGTGGTTTCCCATGTCCAAAGAAATTCAAGACACAGAAGTCGTCAAGCAAGGTGCGGGCGTCTGTCTTCTGGGACAAAGATGGAGTTTTGCTTGTAGACTACCTGGAAAAGGGTGCAACCATTGTGGCGAAGTACTACGTTGCACTGCTCGACAAACTGAAGCAGCAACTGGTCTCCAAACATCAAGGCACACTTTTGAAACGAGTCTTGTTTCTTTTGAGACACTGCTGCTCCCCACAGAGCGAACATTACGTACCAGAGGTTGGCAGTTCTTCACTGTTCTGAAACACTCAAGACTACTCACCAGATTTGGCCCCTTCTAACTACTACCTCTTTCCTACCCTCAAGAAACACCTGAAGGGAAGAAAGTTTTTGAACACTGGGGATACCACATTAGCTGCAGAAAGGTGGTAAGCACCACAACAAAAGGAATTTTTCTTGTATGGGTTAAAGAAGTTTGAACAACAAAATCATAAGTGTGTGGAGCTCAGGGCAGAACGTGTAGAGGAGATACATATTTTCAATCCCATAGCTTGTTTTCATTATAAAGCCAAAGACTTCTCAGACAGTTTGAGAAACCCTGGTATAAGGTGAATTTTGTAAAAATATACTTGTATGGGAGTATTTACATTTATTAAATGAAGACCTGTCCAAACTTAAAAATCTTTAGATCCCTGTGGATTTCTTCTGGCTTTTCTGTTAGTCATCTTATAGTGTGAGGCTTAGTGTTCAGATTATGTGGTGTGGTTTGCTCTGGCCTTTGTACTTTTGTGATACCCAGTATCAGCATGTGTGAAAAAAATTGGTGTTTATTATATGAATATATTTTTATTGCCTAGGTTTGTGTTGTGTGTGCCAGCCGTTTCAGCTCCTCAAACCAGGTTTCATGTGTCACATCCTCCTCCCTCAAAGTTCTGGGGGATAAAAAGAACTCAGGCCATGCTACAACAGGAACTGTCATCACGTAGTGCTTTACTGCATCCTATTGCAAGTGCAATGGTCACACAGTTTCCAGATCCTAGGCTCATTCAGTACGATTGTGGTGAGTTATTTATTGCAAAAATATGTTGTGGGGGGGGGCAGTGCTAAAAGTTAATGCATGACTATGTGTAACATGCATCATCCAAATTATCTGTGAAAAGCCATCTATCACCAAAAAATTTTATCTGTATTAGTCTTTTATGTAGGGTAATGGGATTAGGCCCATATTTATAAGTAGACCTAAAAGCGACTTCAGGAACAGACACATCAGATGACCTAATCCAAATGGACCTCAGGCTTTGCTGAAGTTCAGCAATTTTGTGTCTCGCGTACCTGTTTGTGCTATAGCAATGCTATTCAAACCCTCATCATAATTCATAATTTATTTATATCCATAAACTGTTACACAAGTACGATTGGACAAGTCAGTTTAAGCCATCTAAAACACTACAAATCAACAACTCTTAAAAATGTACAAAATGATACACAAGACTGCGAACAATACAGTCATCTTAGGATCATTGTTCCCCTGCTGAAGCTAGCAACTGAAGATGACATCCCCCAACAATCCAGTATAAAATAACGCATACACCTACACCATCTATATACATCCACACCACATCAAAACCAACCTGAGCCACCAAACTGCTGCCCATCATTGTTACTAAAGAACTCCTGCAGAGAATAAAAACAGTTGTGTAATAAATAACTTTTTAATTTATTTTTAAAAACTTTAAAATTTTCTGTTCTTTTTAATTCATGGGGCAAGCTGTTAGGCATTTTAATTTCCCTGTTAATTACACTTATTTTGCAGCGAACAGTGTTGCATGTTTATACATACAAATCCTGTTTTCCTTCAGTGTTATACTTGTGGATGTCAGAATAATGAGTTGTGTAGATCTTGTTCTTTTTTAAAAAGCATAAGATCTCATGTATATATATATATAAAGAAGTTAATTTTAAAATCTTAAATTCACCAAACAGACTTCTACTCCTTTAATGAGCCTTAGGCCTTTTTTCTGTAATTTAAAGACTGAATTACTGTTATTTGCTCCCCTCCACAGCAAATAATACCAGATTTCAGCATAGATTCCAATTTAGTGAAATACTTCTTAGTACTGGTAAACTTGCTGAGTCGTATGGATTTAATCAAATAGAGAGCTTTGTTATTTATGGCAGAGATTGTATATGAGTGGCCCAGCTTAAGTTATCACTTTGCAGACCAGCAATTTAAATATTTAAATCACCCTGGGGACCGGCATTTTTAAACTTACTGCCCTAACTTGTGCAATGCTTAGGATGATGCTTCCCCTAGGAATGTTCACTCTTCACAGTTTTCATGAGGGTATGTTTCCGCATATCACCCGAGAGTTTCCCAGGGGTGTCCACATGAGGATTGCGTGGGGTGGAAGTTCATGGGCCCGGTTGCACTAAGTCTGTGCCTGACTCTGGTTCTTCCGCCACCATCTCGTCTGTAGCCCAGACCTTTGCCACATTCATCAGAAATGCTTTGTATTTCCATTTCGAATTAGGGTTTAGATTTTTGTAAACCAAAAATGAATTGAAAATGGCACAGTTTATAAGCCACATGGCAACTTTCTTTGTTCACTTTATTATTTTCCTAGGAAGAGAATAATAGGCCAAGTATTGATCGGCTCTGTCAACTCCCTTCATGAACATATTATACTCAGAAATACAGATAGGCTTCTTTACTTGTCCATGTCTCCTTTGAACATCAGCCATGCTCGAATTGTAAATTTTGGCAATCACATTCACAACACGAGTATCCCTATCTCCAAAAAACAGTTCTGGTACTTCAGACACTTGCGTTGGGGCCGATGGAATTTGTTTCACCCCTGGATTTCCAGTAAACTATCCCAAAGTAGGCGTTTTGTCTACTTTTCCCCATGTGGCTGTCCCCGCAATTTTACTACCTGCACTTTCCTCAGAGCTACTTTCACTTTTATTGTCTGTGGCCACAATTGTTTGTTGTCCCCTCTCACTGCCACTGTCTAAATCACTATCACTACAGGTCTCAGAAGGAACCTCAGATAGCTCGTCTGGAGAACAAGTCAGATATTGCTTGGTTTTCAACCGCTTCTGTCCTTGACTCATTGTAGTACTAACTTCCTGTCTGGTACATAAGAGCTTGAAGGGTCAAAGATCATTTTCCTTTGAATGGGTAACCCAAACAGTGAGATCAAGTTACTGCCTACTAAGCAAACATTCTAGAATAATATTACGCAGTAGTCATTCCATTTGGGTGGCTCCAGAGAAAGGTATAGTGTGTTTCAACATAATGTGTCCTAAAATCATAATAATATGCCACCGGTCCGCCATGTTTAAAAGCGTTGGGCATAAAAATGTGCCACCGGTCTGCAAAGTGTTAACTGTGATATAAATACCTAAAAATTTTAGATTAGATGAGTAAGTTATTTATTTATTTATTTTTTAGATGCTGAATGGGGCCATGAGTTAACTAGATCCTTTTCCCCAAAATAATATTGCTTCAGTCTTTTCAGTATTTATTGTAAGATTATTTGCTAGGAACTAGTTTTCTAAGTGATTGATGACTCTTATTGATTTTTTTAACAATGGAGTGTTTTTCTCTATGAGTAATACTACCTCAGTCAGTAAGTTTGTGGAATGGCCGCAAATCGATGACGTAGCGCACTACAGCGGATAGGTTGATGCCCTGTCAGTTCAACTCTTGTCACAGCAAGAGGCAGTTGTGTGCAAACAGTGTAAGTCTGTTGTGAACTGCAGTTAAATGCAGTTGGTGGAAATCGAAAATGTTGCAGTTTGAACAACAGGCAAACATCAAGTTCTACCAGAAACTACGCAAATCCCCTAGTGAAACATTTAGCGTAGGAAGAATTGGCTGTTGCTACACGACAATGCTCCTGCACATCGCTCTGCTCTTGTCCAAGAGAAACTGACTAAGGCAACAGGTCACCGTTTTGCCATACCCTCCATACTCACCTGATCTCACACCATTTGATTTCTTTCTCTTTCACCGCTTGAAAGCAAAGCTTTCATAGATTTCAGTCGTCTGAGGAGGTGGTCATTGCCACGAGACGCCGTACCGGAATTTCCTGCCAATATGTTTCAGCAATGATTTTGGCAGCTATATCAACGTTGAGAGACTTGTATAGTGGCCAACGGCAACTATTTTGAGGGTTGATGTGGATCTGTGTAAGTGTATGTGAATACCTTGTAATATGATAAAACCACATTCCATGAACTTAATGACTCTACCACGTATATGTGCTACTGCTGAAGTGCTGATCTATAAATAAAGGTGACGGAGGATAAAAAGGTGTTCATTTTTTTTGGGGATGGACACACACACCCCCATTACCCCAGCATGAACATTTTCAGAGTAATTGTTTTCCAAGGTATAGTGATGTCTGTTCGTTGTCTAAAAGATGGTACTCAGCTCCACACTAAGTGTTTATTATGCTGCACACACATTGATTTAAAATTAAAGATCCCATTCCGCTTTATTAAAACATTGATGGTTTATGTTATTTTTATAGGTAAACTGCAGGTGCTAGACCGATTACTTCGGCAGTTGAAAGCAGATCACCACCGTGTACTAATCTTTACCCAAATGACTAGGATGCTGGATGTTCTAGAAGCCTTTCTTAATTTTCATGGTCACATTTATTTGCGTTTGGATGGGACAACTCGTATTGATCAGAGACAGGTTTGTGGGCATTGGAATAAATTAATTTCATGTTGCTTAAAACTCACAGTTATAAAGAATACTGTTAGAAGTTCATTATTGTGTTGTATTTGCCATCATTACATAGTTTTAATTTGTTCCATTCTTTTATTTAATTTATGTTTAAATCTGATGTTATGAAGTTCCATTAGATGTGGTGAATCTTATTCTTATTAAATTGTGTTCTGCATCTAAAATTTTAAAGAGAACATGGGTTGTACGGTATTTGCCAGCATGAAATGCAGACAAACCCATGTGAGAAGTTAAAAAAAAAAAAAAATTTTTTTTTAACAAGTTGCATAATGAATTCCTCATTGTAATTGAAGTCACTTTGCTAATATTCTAATCAAAATTATGGTAATTGCACCCTCAGTTATTGGGTTTAACATTTCTGTGACCATCCCTGATACTGTTACACAAAATTCCATCACGCTTCATTCTAACACTGGCCCGAAACCTCTCACTCCCAATCCTTTTCTGCATATTCCCAACAGTTGGTCCAGTACAATTTGCAAATGTATTTGTATGCTATAATGATCAGTCTGTCATATACAAGAGCAGTTGGTGAGTTGGTGGCAGTGTAGAAAACTTGGCCAGAGAATGAATGGTGGAATATGATACTTAACTTTCAGTATAATGATTAGTAACTGTAAAAACACATAATAACTCAGATTTCTGTTGTTCAGAGCAAGTCAGACACTTAAAGAATACCCTAAAATTCTTTAAGTGTTAACAATTTTACCAGCGTTTTGAGTGTGGCATGGCAGTATGGGGACCTGCTGCAGTGGGCACACTGTTTGGTGCTAAGAATTAGTTCAGATTTGTTTAATTCATTGTTCTCCATTCATTCAGAATGGAGTACATAGGGACGAACTATTGACTGTCCTTGGGTAAGTCCCCCCCCCCATGTATTTGTGACAATTCCCATACATTTTTGTGTATCTTTGCACACTTGGTTTTTCACTATATTCCTTGTAATACTGAAACCCAACCCTGCATTCATATCAGAGGTGACTAGTGCCTGAGAGGACAAAATAAAGCAAGAACTTTGCTTCTGGTCCCACTCATTTGTAGCTTGTACAAAATGTTGTTGCTAATTATTATTGCTCATTTTTTTCCAGATGCTGATGGAACGTTTTAATGCTGACCGCCGAATTTTTTGTTTTATCCTATCAACCCGTTCAGGTGGGATTGGTGTGAACCTCACTGGAGCAGACACTGTGATATTTTACGACAGTGATTGGAATCCCACAATGGATGCTCAGGCTCAAGATCGTTGTCATAGAATTGGTCAAACCAGGGATGTTCACATATACCGGTGAGTTAGTTTAAAAATCAGTATCTGTACATTACAGTTGAATGGCTGTGGACCATTGTATATTCATAGTATGTAGGAAGAAATGAGGAAGGAACAATTTTTGCAGTTTTGTTGCAAATGTTTATCCTTCATAGGAAAATATTATCAACTACACAGGTGTCTAGTACAGTAGTCCCTCTGACATTTTCATGTAACATACAAGGTGTGTTCAAAAAGTTCTTGAAAGTATGATGTGGAGTAGCAGTGCGTTGGTTACATTAGAGGTTGTTTCAGTGACCCTGCAACCCAACTGTTAGTTACGCATGCCATTGTGTTCCAAGTAGATCGGACATTCTATTTAGTCTTTATAACCAGTACATAGTAGCATAGTTCGTTGACGTACTATGCTACAAGCCGGAAGGTTGCGGGCGCGAGTCCTGATGAGGTGGATTTTTTTTAATTTACCTAATCCTACCAGCTGCACTATGGCCCTGAAGTTGATTTAGCCTCTAACAGACGTGAGTATAAGGAATTTGCCTGGGGGGTAAAGGGTGGTCAGCGCATAAGGCTGACAACCTTACCACCGTCTGTGAGCCAGTTGTCTAGAGAAAATATGGGAGCCTCAACGTCTCACACACATATGGGTCTTTATGGCCTGTTACAGGAGTAGTTTTACCCTCTTTTATCCGGTTTTGTGATCGAGTGAGTTGTTGTGTCGCGTTTAGTGTGGAGTCAGTAAAGGAGCAAAGAATTTGTGTTAAATTCTGTTTCAGAGTAGGGAAGACAGCTGCAGAAACCCACAACATATTGCATGAAGCTTACGACAGTGGTGCTTTTAGTCAAACGACAACCTGCAAATGGCTCAAATATTTTAAAAATGGAAGAACTTCAACAGATGATGAGTGGTCTGGCTGTCCGTCAACTTCAGGATCCAAATCTGTGTTTCCCCAGATGAAAAAACGTTCGTGGAAATTGTCATCTGACTTTCCACGAAGTGGCAGGAGGGGTTGAAATATCCTTTGGTTCATGCCACAAGCTTTTAACAGAAGATTTTGGAATGCATCGGGTCTCAGCAAAGTTTGTGCCGAGACACTTGACTGATGATCTCTGAAGGGCAAATGATGAAAATATTATGAAAAATGTCATTACCAGTGACGTGATTTGGGTTTATGGTGATGATGTTGAAACCAAACCAGTCTTCACACTGGAAGAATTCTGCTTTGTCTTGTCCCAAGAAAGCATGACTGGTGCACCTGCAAACGAAAGGAGTGTTTTTTTTTGGTCCTCTAGGATTGTGCTTTATGAATTAACTCCTGAGGATCAGTGATTCAAGATTCTTATCTCGTGGTGGTGAGGCATCTGCAGGATGTGGTACAAAGAAAGTGCCCTGAAATGTAGACTGTGGGATACCTGCTCCGGCAGCTTAATACGCCCTGCTCACATAGCATTATCGGTTATACAATTCTCGGCAAAAGAAATAAATTCCTGCCTTATATAGCTCCCTATTTACTTGGTGTCTCTCCTCCCGACATTTTTCTGTCCCCTAAACTCAAAACACTCTTGAAGGAAGAAGATTTCAGACACTTGAAGGTGATATCAAAAACGTCGTGCTAACAGTGCTCTCAGAATTGGAAAAGATGGAGGGAGAAGTATATTGCTGTGCAAGGGGACTGTTTTGAAGGGTATGCTATGTAATAAGTTCTTAAATAGAGAAAAATATTTAAAGACAAATTTTGGTAATGTTTTGAACACACCTTTTGTCTAACTTTTCTGTCGATTCATTAGACATATACTGAGAAAATTGTCGTGTGATTAATATATGAAGCCTACTCTTGGCATGTATGAAATTTGAATCTTGGGTAGAAAATTGATTTTAATGGTCTTCCTTAGTGTGATGTTGGATATGATGTTCACAGTTCTGTTTGTAGGTCTCTTTACTGTTAACCCCTTAACCTCCAACCTTTAACATAAAATGTTAGATGTATCTAACAGCAAGTAACACTGCTGTGCCCGAATGTTAGATTTATCTAACACATGCAATCTTTGGGAGTGCTGGCAGTTTGATCTTCCTGTTGAAACCACAACCCCCCCCCACAGTAGCTCTGAACAGTGAAATCGTTTATCATGGTACTGGTTTCGATATTAATTACAGTTAGATATGACTGTTTATGACTGGGTCAGCCAAGTAGAGCACAGCTTTGTTTTGAGAACTGAGAAGTAAATATTCATCTGAGCAAGCAGATTAGTGCCACTTAGCTTGCAAAGAAGTGGGTCATTTTCAAGGATTTCTTTTCAATAGCAAATTATCAGTCAGAAAGTCAGTGTTGTATTGTCAATTACAGTCAACTCTTGATTATCCGGGATAATGGTGGGCATGGAAATCACGATTAATCGAAAACCTGGTTAAGACAAATGTTATTAAAAGTAGTACTGTAATACTGTACCTTCATAATACAGGCCTACCTGTATTTAAATTTACTCAACCTCATTTTTATGTCATCTCATGGCCTATTTAATACTTTTTTTACATTATACTGAAGTATGAATTAGTTATTCCAATCACAGTGTTCAACAACATCCAACACTTTTTACGAATATTCACACTTAACATTTAAAGAAAATTAATATTGTTGTTTTCTTTTACGCTGCATTTCCCTTTTTATTGATATCCGTATGAGGCCTACGTAATATTAGCTTGTCACTTAATAAACTGTTCTCTTCACTCTCAAGATAGTCAAGTAAGGATTCCAAACGATTAAGAGCAGCACCATGTGATATTTTCTTACTAGCAACACTGTCCACCTCTTCCTCATTCTCACTTTCTTCCCGCTCTTCTGGCTGCGCCCCTACTGAACTTATGGTTTCGTCACTGCTTAACATTTCAAAGCCCGGCTCACACGAGTTTCTGTTGAATACTTAACACAACACGCTTCCTTTTACACCCTGACATTTTGCTAACGCACTTGAAGATCGATACAAAGAGACCAACTGGGGCGGTGTATCTGACCTTGAAACTTTCCACAAATCCTTGCATTCTTTCACCCCTACCCTAGAACATTGTGTTAGCATAACAGGACCAAAGAATGCAGAGCTCGGTTCACACTAGTGCAAAAATAGTGTTACAACTCACCATGTGAAACAAAAGTGAATGAATATTAAACAACATATAAGCCTCAAAAAAAAGCCTCAGTAGCCCCGGTTAAGCCGCAAACCGGTTAATCCGCCCCCGGATAATCGAGAGTTGACTGTATTTATTTATAAAACATTTTTATTTTGTGTCTCGGGAGAGGTATAAAGCCATTGAAGACAACATTGCAAATATGGGCTCTGTGGATAAATCTGACAGGATGGTAATTAGTTATGGAATTGCCTGGAGGACATGGAAATCGACAAAATAATTGTATTTCCACCTATTCTCAATGCCTATTTATTGCACAATGACATAAAAAATTCTGCGAAGTTTGATTGTACAGTCACATGAGGCAAATATCACAGTCAGTGCTGTTTCTTGGGGAAGCCCTAGTTCATCTGGGGCCCAACTGGGTCGACTAGAGGCGAATCATTCGCGACACTGGTCATCCAAATGGAAACAAAGATGTGTGTTTGCTAAATAAGAAAACCAGGAGTACCCTCTTCTATTGTAAAAAGTGTGATGTTGGTCTGTGTGTCGACTGCTTTGACCAGTGGTGCATATGCGTCAGAGTGTGTGCACTGAATGGAGTTATCATAAACTGTGAAGTGACGCAGGTCATACAAGCATACAGTCTGAACAAAGGATTCAAAGGTTAATGTGGCTGTAAGGCTTCAGACTTGTATTCTGGAGGTGCTTGGTTTGAATCTTGATTAGGACAGCAGCTATCCTGACAGGTGTTTTGTCATCTCAGTCCCTGCAAGCAAAATGTGGTGTATTACCTCAGTTGGTTCATGACCACTTCCAAATTCTTCTCAGTTAATCAGATATCCTACCATTTCATCCTTTATAGTTTAGATATTGACTGCATTGTAAAACAACGAAATATATTACTGTCAGGTCACGCTCATAGTGTTGATGAGTATTGAATAATTAATGGGAAACGATGTAGAGGATGCAATCATGGCCTGACATTAGGTACTTTCCTGACACCTGCCTTGGGAAAAACCCAGAGGACTACAATCAAGATAACAAGTGTCTCGGCTGAGATTCAAACCAGGCATCTTCTGAATGAAAGTCATAGGCAATAACTGCTTGAAGCAATCTTATTACTGGACCAAAATCCCCTAGTACGATCTCTTTGGCCATGATCCATCTGAAAGTGAGGGCCAGAATGCTATGTGTTTTGTCCTTTTTCCGATCTTGCATAATTGATGTACTTGATCTGATCCGAATTGCTAGTCTGGGTGGAATTAGTGATTCGGTTCATCTGGACTTAGGGGAATTCCCATTCAAAAAAATAAAAATAATATTGTAACGTGTTATATGAGGGCAAATCGAAAAGCCTTTGCCTCTATTTTTTTTAGCCACAATAATACACATGCAGAGAAATCAAAATACAGGCAGTGTTCTAAGTACCTTTGACTATTTTTCCACATAGTCACCACCCCGGTTCAGGCATTTGTCCCATCAAACCACTAGTTTGAGATGGCACTGTTGTAGAATTTGGCCAGTTGAGTGCGGAACCACTGCCGGACAGCAGTTTTTGCATCGTTGGGAATGAACCTCTGGCCTGCCAGGAACTTTTTCAGTGGACCAAACACGTAACAACTGAGAGTGATATTCACTGTATAGGAATGAAGCTGTGGTTACTTTAAGGTTTGTTGTATTTGCTTGCTTTGTGTATGTTCTTAGGTTGGTTAGTGAGATGACTGTTGAAGAAAATATTCTGAAGAAAGCAAACCAGAAAAGGCTTCTTGGTGATCTGGCAATTGAAGGGGGCAACTTCACAACAGCTTATTTCAAAAGTGTAAGTGTTAATTCAAGTTTAGAATTCTGCTGCTGCCACAACAACAACAACAACAACAACAACTACTACTACTACTACTACTACTACTACTACTACTACTCTTACTACCACAGTTGTGGGCTACTACCACTATGGAATTTAGTATTTCAAATTTAAGATTCTTGACTAAACTTGATGCTGCATTTTCAGCCCTGAATTTGGAGTGACTATTATGATATTTGCTTATGATCTGTAACCTACAACCATGAAAATTATTATGCATTTAACTGATAATTAAGATGCTGGAACTCCTAGTCAGTTATGATTTAAAAATAGTGTAAAGTCAGAGTTCATACATATGAATGTCTTTAGCCTACTTTCCTGGTTTTAAAATAAAAGTAGGCTTATGATATCACCTTGCTGTCTGTCTGTGTATGTGTGTGCATTTCAGTGTCTGAACCAGTCTCTATGAAATTGAGTATGAATATCGTGGCTCATGACCCCCATGTGAATGGCATAATTCATAAATTCCTCCCTTCAACAATTCCAGTGTTACAACCTTTCAAATTTCTAAGGCAAAACTGTCATATTGCTAGAACACCTGTACCAATCTTCATGAAACTTGGTAAGAATATCATGTTACAGGAAGGCATCTCAATGGCATACATCTGTGATACCAACATTGCAGCCTTAGATTGCTGACACACAACCTTAATGTTGCTTGAATGCTTGTACCAATCTTCATGAAACTTTGTATTATATATATCATGCCACCTGAGGCCTTCTCAGTGGTGTACATCGTGAATCCCTCTCATCAGTAATAGAGGTAGTACCCTTAATATAACTTGAATGCCTGAACTGATTTGTCATTGTACCTGATATGTATATCTTGCAACAAGAGGCCATCCCTGTTATTAATGCGTAGGTAGGCTGAAAAGTAATGCACACATGTTTGTAGAGCGCGAACGAAATGACCTTCAGAATCGCGCCAGGTGGCATGTGGAAGTAACATTCCCCCTCAATACGCATGCACAGGTTTGAGGTCGTTGCGTTCATCCAGTGTATTTCGAGAAGTGGAAGTATGGAGACGTGTTCTAGTGCTATGTCAATGCGAGTTAAACAGCATGCTGTTATTGAATTTTTAACTGCTGAAAAAGTGACTCCTACTGAGATTCATCATCATTTAAAGGCTGTTTATGGTGACCATGCTGTTGATAGGTCTACTGTAAATCGATGGGCAATAAAATTTCTTGGTTGCGAGCCTGGAAAAGCCATAATTGATGAAACACGCAGCGGACGTCCGACCACTGCCACAGACGATAATCGTCGCAAACTCGTTGATGATTTGATTCAAAATGACCGGCGAATCACTCAAAAGCGTATCGCAAACCATATTGGAATATCCAAGGAATGTGTCGGCTTCATTATTGAACAATTGGGATACCGTAAAATCTGTGCACGATGGGTACCACGCTGTCTCACAGACGAGAACAAACAGCGTCGATTGGAATGCTGCGAGCAACTTTTGCAGCACTACCGTGACGAAGGAGATGACTTTCTTTTGAATATTGTGACGGGGGACGAGTCATGGGTCCATCGTTACGACCCAGAAGAGAAAAGACAGAGTGCAGAATATCGACATCCGTCTTCTCCTCAGGCGGAAAAGCTCAAAACACAACCATCCGCCAAAAAACTTCTTTTGACTGTGTTTTGTGATGCTCACCGAGTTTATGTGACCGATTTTCTGGAACGAGGGGCAACGGTAAATTCTTCTCAGTACATACATACTCTAAAACACCTCTGGCGTCGAGTTTGTCGTGTTAGAGGCAGCCTGGCGCCAATAATCTTGCAACATGACAACGCTCGTCCACACACCTCACGCGCAACTGAAGAGGCTTTGCGAAACCTGAAGTTTGAACCGATTCCACACCCTCCTTATTCCCCCGATCTTGCGCCTTGTGGTTTTTATTTTTTCCTCTACTCAAGAGAGACCTCAAGGGTAATCATTACACCTCGGATGATGAGGTGAAGGCAGCTGTCAAGTCCTGGATTCGAGAAAATTTGGAAGAATTTTTCAGTGATGGAATGAAAAAACTTGTTACATGTTGGCAGAAATGTGTTAGCCTTAACGGTGACTATGTTGACAAATAAATATATGCTTTTGAAACTTAAGAATTGTACTTTAATGTACTTTTTGCCTGATCTTGCTATTTGTTTTTGTTCGCGCTCTACAAGCATGTGTGCATTACTTTTCAGCCTACCCATGTAGTTTCATGCGTACCCCAAACTCTGTCAGAATATTGTACAATTCTTCCCTCCTAACTGAATCATAGGCTTTCTTGAAGTCCACAAATAGCTGATATGCTGTCTTATTATACTCCCATTTTTTTTCTCCAGTATCTGACGGATGCAAAAGATCTGGTCAGTAGTTGATCTGTTATGTCGAAACACACACTGATGATCCCCAATAATTTAATCTGTGTGTGGACTTAACCTTGAGAGAAGAATATTGGATCAAATTTTATATGAAGTTGATAGCAGTGATATCCCCCGATAATTAATACAGTCATTTTTATCATCCTTCTTGTGAACTGGTACAATAATAGACTCCTTCCACTGATCAGTTAGTATTTCCTTATGCCAAATAGAATTAGCTTATGGATCTTAGAACATAATATTTTGCCTCCTGCTTGAACAAGTTCTGCCGGAATTTCATCACTACCTGGTGATTTATACCTTTTCAGTTTTGCAATAGCAATTTCAACCTCAAAAGGGCTGGAATCAGGTACTAATGGCTCAGCTGTGTGCATTTCTATCTGCCTAACATCACTGACCCTATGTAACTTCAGTAACTGACAGAAGTAGTCCCTGACCTATTCAAAATGTTGTGGGAATCTGCAAGCAGATCACCATTCTCATCCTTCACTAAGTTACTTCTAAGTTGGTAACCCCTCTTGAAGTCATTTATTCCTCTATACAGGTCTCTAATGTTCTTGTTCTTACTGTTCATTGCAAGCTCATCAATTTTGTCTTTCAGATATTCCCTCTTTTTGTTCCTAAAATGCCTGCTGGTTTCACATCTTATAATGTTCAGATTATTCCCATTTATTTCGCTTGGATGGTGTAACCACTGCAATTTGGCTTGTTTTCTTTTGGTCTAATATTTTTGAGCATCCTTCATGAAACCATGGCTTATGCTTCTTCAGTTCATAATAACCTAGACTCTCCTTGGCAGAAATTTTGATAGTCTGTCTTAATAGTTTCCCTAGATTTATAAACATCCGCCTCAGTGTCTTAAGTTTTCCAAAGCCGCAACTCTGTTGGAGATTTCAACACGATACTCCTCTTTACCCTCTACCTTGTTTAAACTCTTGAGATTGCACCTCTCCATATGAACTCTTTCCATTGTTTGGTTGCTCACTGCCAGTCTTTCCCAAACCTTTGCCACCACCATGTTGTGTTCAGTATCAAAATCTGGTGCCCTGCATGATCGGACATCAAGTATACCTGAATGCCGTCTCCTGTTTATCAAAATATGGTCAATTTGATTGTGTGTCTTCTCATCAGGATATGTCCAAGTAAATTTATGGATGTTATGGTGTGGGAGCATTGTACTTTTGACAGTAAGATTTTTCAGTGTGGCATAGTTTAGTACTCTGACTCCATTATCATTACTAATTTCATGCAATCTATAATTTCCAGATCTTTGTTTGAAAATGTCTTCCCTACCTTCTTTGACATTGAAATCTCTTTACAGAATTTTTAAACGGTACTTCATAAATTTATCAAATACATGTTTTAGTTCTTCGTAGAACGTGTCCTTTATATCATCAATTTTATGTGCACAAATTTTGAAACATGATACATAATTCCTTAAGTCATATTCTCTTCAGATGAGGCAGAATTTCACACCTCTGGACATGTGATATGGCATAACTGTCATTTAGGGTGTTGGGCCTTCCACAGAACATTTAGAACATGAATAGGATAGTCCTAAAGTGAATGTGGAAGAGACATTGGCCCATTTTTCTTTGAGGAGGACATCGTTAAAGCAGTTCATTACTGTGTGTGCTGGAAAATTACTCTCTTCTACAGCTTATCATTAACAGTCTTATTGTTCTACTGGACAGTGCATCTGTTCATTTGCTCTCATTTTCCATGACTGTTTGAATGTGAATTTCCCTGGTCATTGGATTGGAAGAGGAGGACCAGTTGAGTGGCCCTCTCATTCTTCTGACCTTGTGCTCTTAGGTTTTTTTTTGTTGGAGGCTGTGTGAAAGATCTGCTGTACAGCCAGAGAGTGAATGTGCAGGATGAACTCAAAGCTTGGATTACTGCAGCAGTTTCATATAGAACAAGGGCCATGTTACAGCACATCTGGCAAGATTTGGGCTCTATGCAGAAATACAGGTGACACTTATTGTGAAGTGTTTCACACCTAACAACTTTTCCATTTATGTGTAAAGAAACTCTTTCATTTGATGAACAAAATACTCCAAATGGCGCCCTCATATCTCTGTACATTTGTAGGCTTCAGATATCTAAAATCTTGGCATTCTGTATGGTGGACACTATAGTGATCATTTGCTTGTATTACATGTTATGGCAATTGATTTCTTGGTACCACATTTTAAATAGGTTGTACAATCTGCACACACTTAACAGAATTTTTTGACCATGAGATGCTTCTGCCTTCATTACTATGAGGAAGAATATCCAAGAAATGTAATAGGTATGACAATATACTTCTATTTTGTAATGTTTACTGTTGGAATCTGATTGCTATGTTGTACTTCCAGTCAACCATTCAGGATCTTTTCAACATTGACATTGCTGAAAACGATGCTTCAAGAAGAATGGCAGAGGTTCTGGACAGAGATAATGAAAAAGAACAAAGAAGACAAAAGGATGATGCCCAGGTATATTTTTCCTTTTCGTATATCTGTGTGTTATCCATCACCAGTTAGTGTGATGTATTTGCAGTATTCAGTATGACTGCAGGAACGTCCCTTTCAGGTGAAGGCTTACTATATTTCAGCATTTTGTGTTTGCATGTATAGAAGGCTGTATTTAACAGATTTTGTTAGTCATCCCCCCCCCCATCCTATCTGTAAGCTGGTTGCCAATTTGCTTTAATGGATGTTGCAATATTTTTATTTTTATCTCTCTTGACACTGTTCTGTGGGCCAGGGCTTAACCTTTAACGGCCGGCCGAATGTCACGTATATATGATGCAAGCAGCAACCTGAGTTGGCCAGAGGACACACAAATATGATGCAGGACACTGCACTCTTTGGGAGTGCTGACAGTTTGACCTTGGGTTTGAAACCAAAACAAACCTATGTGAGGTCATGTCAGTGGTTCATTCCTTAGCTTTGAACAAACAAATCGTTTATCATGGTACTGGTTTTGATACTATTTACGTTTAGAGACTGTTTATGACCTGGTCATCCAAATGTAGCCCAGCTTTGTTTCGAGAACTGATGAGGTAATATTCTTCTGTGCTTGCATGTGAGTGCTTCCAGAGCCTTCAAGGAAGTGTGACGCATGCAAGGATTGGTTTTCAGTGGCGAATTATGAGTTAGGAAGTCAGTGTTGGATTGTCTAATATTTCTTTATCAGTTAAAAAGTCAGTGTCAGACTGTCATATATTTCTTTATATATCATTTTTATTTTGTGTCTTGGAAGAGGTATAAACCTACTGAGCCAGTATTACTTTGTGAGTAAAAGGCATCTTCGCCACTGCGACTTTTGGTATCAGTGTCGGACTGGCACTCTATTCGACTAGTATTATAATTACTTTGCATCACTATTTTGCGAGTATTACCAACAGGTGAGGGTGTTGTGTAAGATTTGAGGCTTTCACGGCGGTGACTATGAAGAAAGCAGTCTTTTTTTTCTTCTTCTACCCTGAAGATGGAGGCGATAGGTACCTCCGAAACGTCGGTTAACAGCACATATACATGGTGCCAAATCCCAGAAGACTGCTTTCTTCAGGTGAGAGTGTTGCTTTGCCAGTCAACATAATTTATTCAATTTTGATAGAAACCCCCCCTCCCCCAAGATGATTCTACAATCGCACAAGCCGAATATCACGGTCAGTGGCGTTTCTTGGGGGAAGGCCAAAGTTATCAGGGGGCCCAACTGAGTTGACTCGAGGTGCAACATTCACAACACTGGCCAACCAAAGGGAAACACAGATGTTGTCATGTGTTTCGCTAAACAAGAAAAGCAGGAGCACGCTCTTCTGTTGTAAAAAGGGTGGTGTCGCTCTATGTGAGGTGGACTGCTTTGAGAAGTGCCACGCGTGTCAGAGTGTATCGTAAACCGTGAAGTGACGCAGTTCAAACTCATTTACAGTCTGAACAAAATATTATTGTATATAGTGTGACTATATTTACAATATCACCATGATTCAAGGTTGAAGAAAAAAACAACGGGTACGTCCTTTGGAATTTTATAACATATATAATAAAGATTATATTTTGCATTTCATGACAGAATAATCACAGTTAATTTTCGTTCATAAAAATTACTCTTTTGAGTATATTGTGACATGTTGCACAACGGAGGACACCCACCTCCCCAGCGATACGTGGCGGTAATGTAGTGCTCGTGTTACTATGGTAATAGGCGAGTCCCCGCCCCGCCACTCTCCCCACGGTGATGTAACGCGCAACGCGCGGTGACGCGACACCGCTTCCTACTGTGACGTGGCACGTAACAGGCACACACAGCCCCTATATCAGTTGGCTGCGCTGCCTTATGTATGTAATGCACAATATATATAAAATCCAAAGTTTTCACAACTACAGCAGTTGTCTTGGTATATTAAAGATTGTTAAAACTTTTGTTATTTAAGTTAAAATTTATAAACTAAATAGGTTCGTGTCCCTTCTCTCATCGCCTTTCTTGACGGGCGCCGAACTTGTGCCACCTGTCTTGAAAATGAGGTTCTGAAAATATATTATGGGTATTGTATATTGCCTCTTCGACTACCCAATCTTATTCCAGGCGACTTCTGCTTGTAAGCCCATGTGAAGAGCATTGTTTATGCACAACAGTGTAACATGGGATGAACCGTGAAATATCATTGAATTGGCTGGGATAACACTACGCAACATGCGTGGTGACTTTTAGTTGATCACGAATTCTTAGCACAAGAGGGCTCATTTATTCTTTGACTGTAATAGTGACCATTTCCAACGTCTTCTGTAAACCGTTAGTAATTGACCAGCTGCCTCTTTGTTCGCAGCTAATGAACTCTGTATCCGCAAATGTGTTTCTTCCCTCATTCATCTTGCTGCTGTATCTCATTAAGGAAGCAGAGTCTGATCATATAGTGTACATGACTGTTTCTGCTTAATGTAAGTGTGGAACACGGTGCTTGTATTTGAGGTATATCATTAAGGCTCACTTTGTGGATCAGGCTCTTGATTAGTATTTGTTGTACCCTGTATGTTGTCTTTGTCATTTTCTGACCAGTGTCTGTTTTAATATAGTGGTTAGGGCTCCACATTCAGGAGATTCCAGGTTCAGATATGAGTACTTCCAAGCAAATTTATTACCATTCGAGGGTCGATCAATAAGTACCCATGTTAGGAATAAAGACACAAGTTTTTCACAATTTTTTTTTTTTATTTTTCAACATAATCTCCTTTGAGGTTAACCCCTCCAAAAAATACGATTTGTCAAACTCTTCAAAATACGCTTCTGTCTCGGCGATAACCTCCTTGTTTGAGCTGAATTTTTTCCCCCCGAGCCATGTTTTCATGTTGGGGAACAGAAAAAAAGTCGCTGGGAGCCAGGTCGGTCAAGTATAGTGGGTGCGGCAGCAGTTTGTAGCGCAGTTCATGCAATTTGGCTACGACAGTTCCGGATGAATGTGCTGGTGCGTTATCGTGGTGAAACAGCACTTTTTTCTTAGCCAAATGGGGCCGTGTCTCCTTCAATTTCTTATCGAATCGGTCCAATAATTCACTGTAGTACTGCCCCGTGATCGTTCTTCCTTTCTGCAAAAAGTCCATGAGGATTATTCCCTTCGAATCCCAAAAAAATCATGGCCATGACCTTTCCGGCCGATGGGACCATCTTTGCCTTCTTCGGAGCAGATTTACCTGGAAGAATCCATCATTTTGACTGTCGCTTGGTCTCTGGCATATAATAATGTATCCAGGTTTCATCAACGGTGACGACTCGACGCAAAAACTCCTGCGAATTTCGCTTAAAGAGGTCCAAACACTGCTTCGACATTGACAGCCATATCCGCTTGTTGTCCAGTGTGAGCAATCGCGGCACCCATCGGGCCGACACCTTTCTCATACTTAAGTTATCGTGTAAAATATTGATTGCTGTTCCGTACGACACACCTACAGCCTCTGCTACTTTGCGCACTTTAGTTCGGCGATCAGCGAGAATCATGTTGTGGACCTTTTCAACGATTTCCTCGTTAACGACGTCTGCTGGGCGGCCTGGCCACTCATCAAAAACAGATGTACGACCACGTTTAAATTTGTTGAACCAATATCTCATGGTTGTCATAGATGGTGAAGGGTCCCCATAGACGCATCCAACTTCGCTTTTATTTCTTCTCATGTTTTTCCATCCAAAAATAAAAAGCGATTTACGGATCGATATTGCACTTTTTCCATTGTATCGAGAAAGACAAAACACATCTGATGGAACTGGCTGCCAAATAGAAACTAACCTATGAATCAGTCTGAAATTTAGTATGGTGTCGTTTGACAGATGGAAGTACACGACGGTAATGCCAGCTTCCCTCAGCAATGCCACCTGTCTTCAAACACGGGTACTTATTGATCGACCTTCGTAAATAGACCAAGTCAGTGTTTTCTCACAACTTTCCTATTTATTGTTCAGTCATCCTACCATTTGCTATATAATACCCACTCAGTTGATAGAGTACCATTAAATGAAATGAGAGTTGGAATTGGCCATTATGTCTGACTGAAGGTTATAAGAAATGAGAGTTGGAATTGGCCATTATGTCTGACTGAAGGTTATAAAGGTGATGTATTTCTTTTGCAGACAGTTTATTCAGTTAATGAGAAAATCAACTGCATCTATCATGGCACACAATTGTGGCAGATGAATATTTTCTGAACTGTCTTTTACGATGTGTTCGCAGCAGCTGCCACTGTCACCAAATGAAGACAAGGTAGCACTGGGTGCCCTGGAGACAGCATTGGCAGCAGCAGAAGATGAATCAGATGTTCAGGCTGCAAGGACTGCCAAAGCAGAAGCAGCTGCAGATTTGGCTGAATTTGACGAAACAATTCCACTTGAAGATGGTGAAACTGGTGGTGAACAAGAAATGAGCAAAGCGGAATTGGAAGTCCATAATCTAATTCAACAGGTATGCAGTGGGAGTACAGATGTTGTTTTCCAAATCAGTACATAATCTGTAAAAACAAGTTAGGAAATATATGCATAGTATAACAGTTCTGACACATTAGCATTTCTAGGTTTTAAAGATACTTGTTTCATTGTCTCAAACACTAAGACTGAAGAAAGAGGTGCCTTGGTTTAGCTAAGCTAAGAATTTTTAAGCCTGTGATGAACTCTTCACTTGTAATAAACAAACATCAGTGTCAGTTCTAAAGTATTCTGGTGATAGTGTGTAATACTCAGGGTTTTCTTTATTGCTAGTGGGGTGGGACTAAGTCCCTGTGTGTAATACTCAGGGTTTTTTATTGCTAGTGGGGTGGGACTAAGTCCCTTGTACTGCAGCCACTTCTGGCCTATTGTACCAGCCCCAGATGATAGGTGAGGGTGATTGTGGAGCAATTGGTGGAAAGAAAATTGGCAGGGGAAACCGAAGTACTTGGAGAAAACCTGCCCCAGCGCCAATTTGTCCACCAGAAATCCTACTTGACCAGATCCGGGATCGAACCTGGGCCGCTGCGGTGGGAAGCCAGCTACTAACTGCTTGTTGAGCTATGGCGTGGCCCATACTCAGGGTTACTTAGTGTTTGGACTTTGTCCATCATCCTTTATTCTGAAGAGCACAGCATTTCCAAAATATGTTCTTTGGAATACTGGTTGATATGCAAAGACCAGAATTCAGTAATCCCAGATATTAAATTCACATGCAGCTATTCACTGAAATCAGAACTAGAGGCCCATATTGAATCAGTATACCAAGGCATCTGTTTTCATTGTTGTTTTGAGCTGTCAACGTAGTCAGAGTGAGTTGCATTGCACTACTGCCTTTGAATGTAGAATGTGAATAGTTGGTGTGATGTTGTTTGTTGTCAGGTTGAGTTTGTTGTTGTGACATCCCCTAGATATGACACTCCAGCTTCATGAACTGATTATCTCAACTGACTACAGTTTTGTGTCCTTTTTTATTATTGGCCTACTTTCCTTATTTTGAAAAACAAATGAAAGTAGGTGCATGTGATCCCTAAGCTGTCTGTTTATCCCCTGTATCAACTTTTGAATGCCTGGTCCAATCTTTTTGAAACTTGGTATATGTATATCATGGCACCTGAACCCACCTCACCGGTGTACTTTGTAAATCCCCCTCATCAGTCTGCGTGTATGAATATCCCCATAATTTTGCTAGACAACATGTCAGTAAACGTTTCCCTGTTATTGGTAGGCAGCGGCTCAGTAAAAACATTACCATGGCAAGGAATACAAATGCAAATATAGAAGAATTGTTAGATGCATTAATTTATATGCAGTTCATGTCATATCAGGGAAATTAGGTGATTGGTTTTTCCCAGAACTTCTGATTAACCTGGTTTGGGTGGTTAGATGCTGACTTCTCACTTTGGAGGCCTGGGTTCAGTCTCTTATGAGATTTTATAGGTGAATGAGTTTGCTATGTATCAGGTTTTTGTTCAAGTTTCTTCAGTCTTCTGTGCTCCTGATGCATCTGTCACCACTTCAGAAGGAATGCAAGGTACCTAATCATGCAACACATTACTCTGTGCTTGGTCTTTAAATGGGAGGCTTCATCTCGGACCCAGAACTTTGCTGGTTACAGAGTATGGAAGTTTTTTGTGCCCAAATATCTAGGTGCCAGTACTGCCACTGAGGTTTCTGTTACTAAAATAGCTAATTGCTTGATGTAATTAGTAACTCTTATAGCATGGGACAGTTCTTCTTGCACCAGTTGCTTTTCGCTCTCTCTCTCTTTATATATATTGCAACGTGTTTTGCCACTGAAGACGCCGTTCGGATGGTTAATTGGTTTATTTAACAACCTACAAGTTGTAGGCACAATTAATTGTAACACTGTTGCGGGTTTACACAATTTACAAACCCTACACACTATTCTGTTCACTCTATCCTCAGTAGTCTTCACGTATTTATAACGCGTTAGCTATACAAGTCTGTGAATTACACACTCCCAATATAACTGTACTGCAGCACACACAAAGTCTTGAAAGTGCACAATAAGTCTTCACTGGCTGACTTCTCAGTTACCGTGCACTATCACATAAAATCTTCTCACCACGCATTCAAATCTTCTTTCTGTGACTGCTGCTATATTCCAACTGCTTAGGCATTTCAGTTCTCTTATAAGCCCTCAGCCAGACAGTGGAAAACATGCCTCACTTTCCTGTTGCATAATTACTGTGTTTACACGTGTTCCTGGGCAACACTGTCGAGAGTTGTTTACTGCTGTGTAGTAACTGCGGTATCCATTGTTATGTCACTATGGGAAGGGCTGTTACGTCACTGCGACAGTGGTTGCCTGACACAGTTGCTCTTCTGTTACATCACTGTGGGGGAGGGGGTAGGGGGTGTTTACCAAGCGTTGTGTACTGATGGAAGGAGCGGCGGTATGTGACATCACTTAGCGGCCTCCGTAGTCTAGGGATAACGTTCCCACCTCATGACTCAAGGTACGCGGGTTCAAACCCGGCAGAGGTCATGGAATTTTTAAAGGCGGAAAAATTCAGGAAACAAGTCCTCCGGGAGGAACTTTAAGCCATGGGTCCCGTGTCGTAGATTTACGGCACGTAAAAGATCCTCATGTCTCTAGGAGACCTCTGAGCAAAATTATTAGGAAAAAGTTTCCCGCCCAAGTAGTTTCCAATGCCTCCAGTAGATGGGGGTAAGCATCGGGTACCGCAGCCAGCCTCGCTGGCTGAACGGTGCTGATAGTGAGCACCAGTACTGGCAGGGTATGGAGACTGGTAGAATATTAAAGGGGGGCGTACAATAGACTATTAGTCGTGGTGCATGGGGAAACCCACCCCCTCCAATAATAATAATAATGTGACGTCACTTGCGAGACTGCAGAGTTCACGTGACACCTACTTCCTGTTGAGCCATCCATGTCACAATATATATATATATATATATCTGTGCGTGCGTGGGGTTCTATGGCCCTTTGGACCTTGGCCACTCTTTCAGTTCCTTAATCCTGTACACAGTTGGTAGGACTCATGGATGGGATCAACCTGTTGCTTGGCCACTACCTACACACAGAACAGCACAGACACAGAATAAATACACACAGACATCCATGCCTCGAGTGGGATTTGAACCCACAATCCCAGTGTTCAAGCAGGCTAAGACGGTTGATGCCTTAGACTGCCCTGCACTGTGATTGATGTTGCTTTGTTACACAGTTTAAATTGGCAGATGTTGATGTAGGGCCATTTTCATTGTCCTGGAACCTTTGACAGCCTTACTTTGGCTACACAAAATCACATATGGGTTTATAAATTTGGAAACACTATGCAGCACAATTCATCACTAACTTCTTACTCACTGCCCAGGCAGGGTCACCCAACACCTTCCCACTAATGATCGTCACTACAGATCCCACATATTATTTAATTCTGCATAATCCCTCCCAAGTTCATGTTTTCCAAACTATGTCATTTTTAATGTGACCACATTAGTTGATAAAGTGATAAAGTAAAATTCCGGCACTTTAAAAAATTCTGTAAGAAAAATCTAGTATAGAAGTTCTTGTATTACTGAGTCAAATAAGTTATTTGAGCCAATAATTCCTACCTCTTCAGAATTGGATCATTTGCTGACTACCAGTTTCATAAATTTATATCATTTCAGCTGACTCCAGTGGAGCGTTACGCTATGAAGTTTGTGGAGGACACAGAAGCAGTGTGGTCTGCGGAGCAACTGGCTGCAGCAGAGGCAGAAATAGAACAGCAGAAGCGTGAATGGGAGTTGGGACGTCTCCAAGTTCTCAAAGAAGAGGCAGATCGTCGTACAAGAGTTACAGATGATGATGAGCAGCTTCTAACTTTCTCTCATGAGGATGCACATAATCAGGTTAATAATTCGACTGGTCCTAGCAATTCTGATGAGAGTAAGAGATCTGTAGTTGGGGGTAGTCGCCGATCAAGGGGAGGCAGTAGGGGTCGTGGTGGACGAGGGCGGGGTAGGAGCAGAAACTATAGTGGGGCTCAGAATTTTTCTGCAAGTGATGGTGATACATCCTCTTGCAATGATGTAAATGCTGCATCTTCAGTTGATGAAGAGGAGGAAGAAAGTGATGAGAAAGATAGCACAGGTGATGAGAGCTACATTGGTTCTAGATACTGTCGTAATAGTGGTAACAGAAAGCCCCCTATACCTAACAATCACCGTCTCATAAGTCCAAATAGTCCACGGACACGGTCAAGTGGTACAGTAAGCATCAATCTATGGACACTGGATGTAAGCCCCATTCTGCCTGGGCTGAAACCTGTAGGAACAAGTGCACAAAGTCAAGCATCCATTCTGAGAGGGGGCAGGGGAGGTAGAATGCGAAGAGGAAGTGGGCGTGGACTTCAGAACTTCATGAGATCTCCTGATGGGCAATCTGTATCGCCTAGGCGATTATCCAGTAGTAGTGGTCACAGTGTTCGTCACAATTCTCCACCTTCCACCCCGTACTCCAATCCTAATCTTGTTATACGGACAAGACGGGCATTAGCCACACCTGTTCAGCATTCTGATGGTAGTGAAATTGATATGTCAGAATCTTTGTGTCCCAAGAGAGGGGGCAGAATGGGTAGGGTGACCCGTAGATCTGAAAATATTGTTGAGGGTAATGGACCAATTTCCTGAGTTTGGCTTCATAAACCATCGCATCATTGATGGTTGTAATATGTGCATATAACCCAGTTAAAAGCACTAACTTTTAATCATGTGAAACATTTATACTGTGTGGAGATGTGGTAATTCTCCCCTTCAAAGGACAGTCTTTTCTTTACAGTTTGTTGGTAAAGTTGTATATATTTTAAGTTAAACCAGGCCATGTCTGGAACTGGATTTTTTTTACTGTTTTAGTTTTAAATCTAATTGAGATATATGTAAATAGTTTGAAGCATTTGAACCAAATTATTAGCTTATTTTGACACTGTGAGTCATTGGACTGCAGACTGCCATGATCACTACATTGTAATTAGCATAATTTATGTTTGACTGTGTGTGTGAGAGCGCTGTGAGAAAGGAGGAGATGAATGTTAATGTTGCTTTACCATGTGGTCACAAACTGCGTGGTCCTATTGTAAACTAGAATGTGACATGTTGTCACAAATATTTCAAGTCAACAAACCATTTTGTTCTGTGAATTTAGACTTATTAAGGAAATAAAGTTAATTTTCTTTCCTTGCTATGACCTGTGTTTTACTTATCTCTTGGTACATTTCCAAGTGGGTTCAAAGGTTGAGCTGTGTTTTGGTGTCAAACTTTGCTCTGTGTGCTTGTTTATATTTTGCATTGGCTGTCAAAATTAGTTTGGTGTGGCACAGGCTTGTCATTACCTTAAGCCTGCAGTTGGCATCCATTACAACCAATGAACAGTGGCACCAAAACCCTGCCTGCCTTTGCCATTCCAAACTTGGAGATGACCCAAGATATAAGCATGCACAGTGAGCAAGGAGCTGAGAGCGATGTTTTTACCTTGGCTACACTGAACTGTAAGCAGAGAAGTGGCTTATTCTGTCTGTAATAAATTTCATTGTAACTGTTTCTTATGTTCGAGGCCACATTATTTTTATCTGATTGGGTTTCATTGTATTGTAAAATCTGAGGTATTTTCTTATTAAAATATGTGGGAATTTGAAAGTGGAAAATGTGTCCTGCCATTGGGAAGACACGTTTCCCTGATAAGTTTTCTTGAGGACTGACAAATACAAATTATTAATTAACCTTCTAAAGGGAAATATAAAATTAGGTTCATTCTTTGGATCCACTTTTTATTTTGATTGCAGGAATTTTTTTTTCTAATTTCAGTATTATAAGAATCACAGATGCATATTATCAGGGCAACTGGGAAATACAGTGACAATGCCAGAGCTCATTTTTACTTTTGTACTAAAAATTAATAAAGCACAAATCATAATGGACCACTGAATAAGTCTGTAAACGTGACATAAAAATTGTTTCTGGCAACGAAACTAAACCCAATGACAAAATTATTTTCTATACATTGATGTCTAACCACATTGCCAATTCCATTTATGAATAATTTTACCATTTCTTGGCATAAGAGTCCACAGCCATTGTTTGGTATGTTCCTGTGCCAGTATAGTAACAAAAAGTCTGTAAGAACAGTCAGTAGATCAGGTATAAGTTAAAAAGATATTAGCAGTAGATTATCAATTATGACACAGAAATAAATAAAGACTAAAGTTTTTAAACATATTATGATGAAATGTGCACTTTGTGTGCAGTCTATCAGTGTTGATTAAATGTACTGCTTGGGAAATTCCTGTGTAAGAACTGGAAGGAAATTAGCTTCTGAAGTGGGAAATTTTCTACACAAGATCATTTTATGCAGGAACATTTTCGGCATGGGATCTTTATATGCATGAAGATTTAACTTAAGCCTTATGGGAGTTTCATTGGGAGTTCAAAAATCTAACATCTTACTTGGGAAATCTTTGCATCAGGGAAGCACTTGGGGGAAAATAAGGGTGAGGGTAAGCATTGTGTTACTGGATCCACTTTTGTATCAACATAAAATTCATAGGCATGCAGTGCAAGACATAACTGCAAATTTCAACAGTAGTGACTAAAGCAAAATGAATGTATAAAGGGGTGGGCATTTTTGGCCCTTGCACCGCGACCAAAAGCAAAATGAAATTTATTATCGCTTTGCTAATGGGTCATCTGGCAGTACCATTTTTGTTATTCTGTGTATTATTTCCTATCAGGTGTGCTACAGTTTCATTCTGCAGTTGCACACTCTCAACAAGGTAACGAAACATCATTGTCATAATCATTTACAATGCACTGAATATCTAAAGGTTTGAATAAGTTTGTAATTGAAGTGAGCCTTTTTTGTGTGTTTTAAACCTACCTATATTCAGATATTTCTTCAGTATTTTTTTTTTCAGGATCTTGAGCGTTAGTAAATTCTTTCCCTTGCAAAATAGAATTAATAACTGGTATGATTCATAATTTACTGCTGTGTTATTACTGAAGCATGTCATTAAGAGATGTATCATTCAGAATCTGTTTAGTATGGAGTTGGTAAATGAAGCTAATTAAACCTTGTAGGAGTGTCATGGTATTTTTATAATCAGAAGGAATGCCTAAAAGTTTCCAGTATTTTTTGCATTTGCAACAGTTTTTATTAGAAGACCCTTTTTTGATCAGTTATGACAGCAGCTAATTGTACACTGTTTGCACTTTTGGACATACCTAAATTTATTTACCCTTGTTAATAATTTGCTTACAGTTTAATGTGTACTTGGTAAGTTCAGGAGCATTTAGTTGGTTTTCCTGGACAGGAATGTATAAGAACAGAAATGCTCTCTAATTAAATTAGTAATCCTGCTCAATTTTTAAGATACTCCTGAAAAAATAAAATGTTGTCTTTTTGATTTCTGTTCTCTTATTTGTAGGTTTGGGTGTCTCAGAATGCTAGGGAGCAAATGCCGGTAAGTACATTCTAGTCTTAACAACAGTAATTTTCTTGTATTCTTAAATGTTTGGTTTGTTACTGTTACTGCTGCTGCTGCTTGGTTTCCTGGTTCACATTATATTAGGGGGTACAGCTAAAGCCATCCCTGTAACAGGCCATGGAGGCCTATAGGGTTGTGAGACGTTGAGGTTCCAACATTTTCTAGACAGTAGGCTCACAGATGGCATCGAGGTTCTCAGCTTTATGCACTTTGCCATTCTTTACCCCCAGGAAGATTCTGGTACTAATTTTTGTTAGATGCTGGATTGATCGCAGGGCCTTAGTGCGGCTGGAAGGATTAGGTCAGTTGAAAAATTTATTGACCACATTGAGAATTGAATGCATCACCTGCTGGCTAGTACCATAGTGCCTCAACCAGCAGTGCTACTATATGCTGTATTTAGGGGGCTCAGCACTAAATAAGTTCATATTCCTAGAAACATTGGTGCATGTTAAAGTGGAATGCATAAAATATATACTAATTGAAGATTCTGTAAACATGGAATATCTTTGCACCTCATCAAATATCTCATGTATTCAGTATCACATACTCCACAGTCACCGCTGTTCCCACTCTGGAAATGCGAAAAGAAACTTGAAAATTTTTCGCATACTGATGATTATTGCTGTCAGCACCCTGTTTCAAATCATTGGTACTTACTTGCCAGACTGTATCTGATGCAGCCTCTGAAACAGAACTTATGTACTGAACTACACAGGATCACCTCCTGGAAGACAGTAATCAGCCTAGTTACCGCTGTGAGAACCTCACTATGTTATACTGAATACAGTGAAACACTCATTAGTTTGCTTTTGGGATTAATGGATTTGAATAATGAATGGAGGAAATTTTGACTCTAAGTTTGACTTGGGAACATTGAGATTGAGCGTTAAATGAGGGGAGACATTAAATCAATGGTTATTGAATGGTGGTTCAGTTGTATATGCATTTGATATTTTGGTACTTTCATCTCCTGTCACATTCCAGTAATTTCTTGTAATACAAAGTATCATAAGTGTCTGAATGGAACATTGATTTTTTTAAACATGCATCAGTAAATGTTTATCACCGTTAGTTATTGCTGTTGCTACCATACACATTCAGCCCTAAATTCTAGCATGTTCTTTTTAGATAGTTTCATTTTCTGGTTCCTTATTTTGGGATTTTCCCTAAAAATGTTATGTCCTGCCATAATCACTATGATGTTGCATGCTTGAAATGTACAGGAGCTGAACTCACATGGCTTGAATTGCCTGCCTTCTTTTACACTGCAGAATGCATTATCGTGGAGTTGCATTTCAATTCAATTCTACCATCATTTAAGATTCACTGTAGCTACCTGTACTTTGTCATGGTCTGTGGATAAATCTTTGCTACTGTTGGAGCCATATCTTGTATGCATAACTGACATTTGCTTGTCTTCGGTTCTAAGTGAAATTGATGAGCTTTATGTAGGCGTCTGAACATGGGGACACATCCACCTCCTTAAGTATGGCAGTGACCAATCTCATTTAAGTTGCATCATCCAACTGATTTCTATTTATAGATTACTTTACTTATGTTTAAAAAATGAAATTATTCTTTTGAAATCACTTTGTTTGGTTGTGTGTGTGTGTGTGTGTGTGTATGTATGTCTCCCCCCCCCCTTCCCTAATAACCTTTGAATGCCACTACTAATCATCATGAAACTTGGTGTGTATATCATGCCACGTGAGGTCATCTCAGTGGTGTACTTCACAGATCCCTCCCATCAGTATTACCTTCACTGCAATGTCTAAAAATGTTGAGGAAATGACCTTGATGCTACTTGAATGCCTGAACAGATCATAATGAAACTTGGTGCTACCTGAAGCAACCTCAGTGGCTTATTTCATAAATTAATACAAAGACTGAAGTTCTCATAGCTGTGACTGTAAAGATAAGTACTGTTTTCTGGGATGTGATCTTGTGGTTATCAATGGAAACATAGATTATCATGTTCTGGTGAAACATATGCCTCTATCATCAGGCTAGGGTAAGCCAGATGTGGAAGGGAGTGTGGTATGCCAAGGTATGGGAGTTGAGAGAGAGAGAGAGAAAGTAAGTAAAATATGGTCACCGAGTCCTGTGGGACTGAGAATTACTCTGCTGGTAAGCGTGAGCACAGCCTGCCTGACTGACTGACCACCTGACCAGGGTATGGGCTTGGAGTAAACCAGTTGGAGTAAGGAGAAGGGGGAAAAAATCTGTAGACCTTGAAAGGGTCATTTTGTCAGAGTAGAAATGAGAGAAATAGTGGCTGTGAGTGGGCAGCCTTACTCCTGTTGGGTCTCTTAGGGCTCTTAGCCATCTTGTCCCCTATATCCATATGATCCTTTTGTATGTTCAGTTTGTGCTTCTTCCCTGAAAATGGAGGCAGTGCATTCCTGTGAAATGTTTGTACATATTAACACCCTCCCACCCATATCTTTACTGTTAATTTTAATATTCCATAAAATTGAAGCAAAAATTATAATTCATTTTCTATTTAGATCACTAAAAGTCCTTTGCATGCATGAACTATTCTGAAATGTGTTTGTAAATGATACCTATAAACAGAAAATTTAGGAAATATGCTTAGTCACCATTGTAGTTATTACCCAGCTGATCTATTATGGTTTCATGTCATGTCCTTAGTTCTTTTATTCTAAAGTCTGATAGAATATTCTTTGGAATTCCCCTTTTACTAGTATCCTGATTAGTGGGGGTGGCATGATACTCATGTTTTTAGCCAGAAATTCGTGCATAGACAAAGCAGAGGGAGCATGTGTCTTGTGGTGGAGAATTTTTGGATTGTCTTTCAGAATGCTCTGAACTAACCTAAAGAAATCCGCAACATATTAACAGCTTTTGTTCTCATGGACATTTGCATCTGTTCTGCTCATAGATCCACGTATCCAGGTGAAAGGTTTCCTGAAGATTCTGGCACCCAGTGAAGTAGTTCTACAGGATCTTTCTAAAAAGATCATCCAGTTTTAATGGCATATATTTAACTAAATTACATAGCAAACATCACTGTATTTGGCATCTATGAGTTCAATAGCCTTGGAGATGGACAGGCATGTAAACATTTTCAGTATATGCACCATCAGCATTGATGACCAACTGCAGCCTGCTTCAGAAATTTTGGTTTATTCACTGGTGCTGATCACTGCTGCCAGAATCTATCATTTCATTTCTTCAGTTTTGAGTGAATTGTTTTCATAAACTCTTTCTTTCAAAAGACCTTGAAAGAAATAATTGCATGGATGAAGATCTGGAGAGTATGGTGGCCAGGACTACTCATGCCCATACTATTCAAGAAAATGATTAGGCAGCACTCTATTATCAGAATGCTTCTGAAGCACATCCAACACTGCATTTGCAGTGCGTAGCTGATCCCCAGACGTTTGAAAAAAATGTTCTCTGAAAATTACTTCTCACTGCTTGGAGAAGCAGAAGAAATTATTCTTGGAGGACAGAAACATAAGGATCAGTAGTCTCACTAAAAGGAGAATTTGTTCCCGTGCTTAACTAATTAAGCATTATATCATGAAGATGTATGGGGGAGTGGATGTATAGATCCACATAGTCTTGACTGTGGCACTAGTTGGAGGTGAGTGGTCAGTTTCATGTCCTGGCCACTTTTCCTCTGGGCAAACAGCAACTTGTACCCTCTGGATAGTTTGGGTGGGTTCCATAACCAGTCTGGATGGCATGGAGAGTAGAAAAATTTTGCTTCTGCCAGGGCAGGAATGCTGACCCCTCGGCCATCCAGCTGGTAAACAGTCACTTTACCAGCATTACAAAAATTTGGCCAGCAATACCACTTATTGACAGGGCACACCACGCTGCAATTTTGTGTGTGTAGTGGTATCTCTCTTATGTTATGTGGGTGTTCACTGGGCCACATGCTCAATTTGCTTGTTCACATAGCCATTGAAATGTAAATGGGCCTCATCACTAAGCTGTATACTTCACGGTATTGTCCTCCAAACACATTGTCACCACATAAGTCAACTCTCCTAGTATTGTTGGCCTTATGAAGGGCTTGCTGAATTTTGCACAGGAGCAGTTTCACATCTGGAATTATTGTGTATGTTAATGATGCTCCTAGGTTGAGTTTCTGAGTAAGATGTTTTACAGATTTCGTAGGACCGTGTTCAAGACAGTGAATGTTTTCTGGTGTTCTGGCAGACTTCAAATTGTTGCTCACATTCCCAGTCATTTCACACTTGTCAACTGATCTGTTTATTGCAGACCTGCTTTGTGCTTTCCTTCAGGAAAATTTTACTTGTAATCCACAATGAATTGTGATGACACTATCAGACTGGTAAAATATTTTCAGCTATGTTGAGCATGCCATTTTGATCACTGCTCTCTCATCATGTTGCTACCATGGGCAGCACATTCTCTCAAGACTGCTGAACTCATAGACACCAAATACAGCATTGTTTGCTAGGTACTTAGGTAATTGTATGTGATTAAAACTGGAGTGTCTAGAAAGAGCTGTTTTTTTTTTCATGTCAGCAGACATGTACATTTTGCAACAGTCTGTCATATATTCAGGTCATGTGTCTGAATGTTTTGATATCAAAACAAGCTTCCCACCTTATTGACCAGGTCAGAGATAGTTAGCTAGTCTGTTTTTGTAAACAATATCCCTGATTTGTGTCATCACAGTTTCATCTGATTTGCTTTTGGATGGAAACCCTGGTTGCTCTGCATTGCATGCTGAGGTCATTTCATTACTAAACTTGGAAAACTGATCAGGTTTGAATTCTGTTCATTACTCCTTGTCTTGAAGCACATTCTGATATCTTATAGGTATCTATGGCAGTTCTTCTCAGTTTGAAGCAGAAATTGGTTTACATGCACTGTTCTATGATATCAACCTTTTCTGATACATTACAGATCCTGTATCTCAGAGGGTATACCACACAACCTTATTTCACATGGTGTTACTTCTGCATGACACAGACTGCCTTTTTGTTATATTAACAGCAAATGAATTAGCAAAATCTGATTTGCTTCCGCATAGCAGAAGAGTTTTGTCCTGACAGCATTAGGGTCATATTATGGCCACCTTACAAACTAATTTGTCACGTGTGTAGTAGAAGTGGGATTCATTTGTAAAGATTCCCTTCCTGTCTGCTGGTTTGTTCCCACTGCGGCCACCCGGGTCTGGTCAAGTGGTATTTGTGGTAGACAAAGTGGCGCTGGGGCAGGTTTCTTCCGAGTACTTCAGTTTCCCCTGCCAATCTTCATTCCACGAATTGCTTCACCATCACCCTCACCTATCATCTGGGGCTGGTACAATAGGCCAGAAGTGGCCGCAGTACAAGGGACTTAGTGCCACCCCACTAGCATTAAAATAACTTTGCCGACAAGTGGCAGTCCCTCAGTCGGTATAGCTTGCTTGCAGACTAAAACCACAGAGTTTGTTTTGTTTGTCTGTATTTGATCTGGACAGCTTGAATTTCAGCCATAATTTTGGCTATCCTAATGAGTTTTGTTTTGTTTTTGTGTTTGCAGTGTGTTCAGTCCCTGCAGCTAGATGATGGGACAGTACCTTTAATTTGGCCATAACCACTTCCTTTTTCACCCTTTCCAAGTGGTTGTTCACTTATTGTCCTAACATATGATGCTGTGAGGTCTAAGATACAGCATTATTAAATAGATGAATTAGATATATAAAAAAAATGCTCTGCCACCATGTAACCTCTGCATTTGAAACCCCACTGTTAAATACTTTTTTTTTTCTCACCTTATTGATCCTTTCTCTCATAATGGCCTAGAAATCTTGATGCTGGTACTTGCCTCAAAACTTTTATCTAGCACCATCTTCATCATGTTACCTTTCAACCTATAGCTTTATGATCCCATCCTGTCTTCAGTTGTCAGCCTTCACCCATGCTATCTGCATGTTTTCATCTCTTCAGCTCTATTATAAATTTCTAATTGTGGTTCTGTTTGTTTGCTGGAAAGGGCACATTAAAATCTGTATAGGAATTTATAGAGATGAGATTTATGTTTTAACGACTTTATTAGAGACCGTAATTATCATGGAACTGAGCTGTGTGACCAGTTAAGGCCTGCCTATAAATTTTGTAAAAAGACATCGATGAAATGCCTGTTGGTCATAACCAGTGAATCTGTGAGTATTTCCCCTACATATTGTACAGTCATTTATTTTATTGTTATTTTTGTTGACATAAAATAGATCATAATTGGTTGCACATGTTTATAGATGTGGTGTCCACCAACTCCTCCACAAGATGATAATGATGTATATATTGACCACGCAATGGGCTTCCTATATGAACAGACAATCATGTCCGAGTCACAGCTTCCAGTTGTGTATATGAAGAAGGAACACAAACGGATCCGAATGGATGCAGTTCCAGCTACAGAAAGAGAAGGTAATTGTGCATATTACTTACTTACTCACTCATGGAGCTGAGCCCTTCTGGAAGAGCCGCCATTTCTGCAGCTACTAAAGAATATCCCAGCATTTTATGGAACCTGAAGGTTCATTACCATGTTCACTGGTCCCTATCCTGAGCCAGATCAATCCAATCAATACCATCCCATCCTATCTCTCTAAAATCAATTCTAATATTGTCCACCCACCTACACCTTGGTCTTCCCAGTGGTCTCTTTCCTTCTAGCTTTCCCAGCAATATCCTATACACATTCCTTATCTCCCCCATTCATGCTACATGCCCTGCCCACCTCATCCTCATTGACTTGATCATTCTAATTATACTTGGAGAAGACTACAAGTTATGAAGCTCCTCATTATGCAGTTTTCTCCAACCTCCTCTCACTTCATCTCTCTTCGGTCCAAATATTCTTCTCAACACCCTGTTCTCAAACACCCTCAGTCTGTGTTCCTCCCTTAATGTCAGAGACCAAGTTTCACAACCATCCAGAACCACAGGCAAAATTATAGTTTTGTATACTCTACTTTTTATGTTTTTGGACAGAAGACGAGAAGACAAAAGAGGTACATATATTCTGTAGATTGAGAATGTGTTAGGTGACTAGAATATCGAATAAGTCTTAAAATATATAAACATACAAAACATAAGATGAGTGTAAAAATATGTTGTTATAAAAGAACTGATATAAAATAGAGGCCTTGCCATAGATTATAAATCATGTGTATACATAAAATATTCATCATTAGTTTAAAAAAGTGTGTATTTAAGCATCTTTTTAATGCAACTTTAAATTGTGCCTTTTTATTTATAATGTCCATAAAACTAGTAGCCATATCTTCCCTTTTCTTCTGCCCTGCATATATCTTTCAGCCATCATTTAGTCTGTTAACAACATAAAGTTTACCTAATTTTCTAAAAATTATTCCTTTTCTGATCAATGCTTGTTTGAGAAGAATCTTCCTGAATTGGGCCAGTTATATGAAAAAGGTGAAGTTGTCTCTGTGTTAATTCATTGAGCCCTAAGCCATGAAGATGTATGGGGGAATGAAAGTAGGGTTTCACTGTTCTTGACCCCAGTACTAGGTCGAGGTGAGTGGTGAACTTCATGCCCCTGCCTCTTTATTCCTGGGGAAACAGCCCCTAGTACACATTGGATATGGTGCTGGGTAGACCCCCTAGCCAGTCTGGATGCTGGAATAGAAAAAAACAATCTTGCCCCTGCCAGGAATTGAACCCTAATTTAGCCCATAGCATGTCACTATGTCGGCTGAGCTATTCTGGCTCTGGCATGTTATATTAAAGTAAGAAAAATGTTGATGCTGATCCATGGTAGAAGGGCTGGAATGGTTTTGGCAGTGGCACAAGTATACTGTACCCGAATAATTTCTGCAGTGTACCACATGACTGATGCATTATGTGCCTTCATGTAAAAGTAAAAAGTAAAGCTATCCCTGTACAAGGCCGTGAAGGCCCATAGGGTTGTGAGAGGTTGAGGGTCCCACATTATCTAGACAATCGACTCACAGATGGTGGTAAGGTTGTCAGCCTTAGGCGCCAGCCATGCTTTACTGCCCAGAAAAATTATTTAATTAATTCCTGGTACTCATTTCTGTTAGAGGCTGAGTGAATCCCAGTGACCTCATTGGGACTTGAATCCATGACCTTTCGGCTTGTAGCATAGCCCCTTAACCAACTACGTTACCACATGCCCCCTATTATGTACCATCATATTGTGAAATCTGCTAAGGAACTGATGTTTTCTTTCAGTGAAATAATTTTTCATTTCTTAGGAAATATGCCTGAGGAATTTAGGGAACAGAACCAGTCATTGGAGATGCGGGTATACAGATTGAGCTTTGACTGATAGTTCAGTTATTAAGAAAAATATCTACATACAAGTTGAGAAACAAGTTGCTATTCACATCTCATTACTATTCATAATTAATTAGATTTTACTGCTAACATGTTCAGTCTCCATTGCCTTGGAGATCATTAATCATTGACATCATCTGAAGAAAATGCGTGCATATACTTAATGTTACATCACATTCCCCCAAACCAGAGGTCTTGCTCAAGTGGTTACCATGCTTGCTTCAGATCCAGATGTTCTGTGTTCAAGACTTGCAAGAACCCAAATTAGGCCATGACTGCTTCCTCCCGTATCCTTTCCAATTCATTATTCAGATCTTTGCTGATGCTATTGAAAGCACTGGTAAACATAGCATAAATAAATAAAATATTTTTCTGGATGTTGTTGTTTACGTCAAAACTTTCCTTCAGAGCTGTACACAGTTACATTAATTTTAACGTGGCACATTCACTCCAATTATTTTTTCTGCTGAACGTGGCAAGAGTCTCATACCATGCAAATTAATAGGATGTAGCTTGCAGAAGCTTCATATAAATTATTCTGTTTGTGTATTATACCAAAATTAATGTCCAAATGTGTTTTGATGGTGCTAAGGACTCATTGCAAATGTAGTAATGATACTGACTAGTTTTGTACACAGGTCGTCGGCCTATGAAGATGCGGAAAGAGGAATCTTTGTTTGCACCTCGTTCATTATTTGATCGTCCATCACCAGCATTAGCAAAGATGCGCCGAGATATGAAGCTGCAGCGATGCCGTGGTATTATGCGTTCTACATCAACTTTGCCGGGGTTGAAACCTTCAGCCACTGCTAAACCCATGCCAGAACCTGAGAATATGCCTGAATGGGTCATACATGAAGATTGGGCACTACTTCAGGTGATAGTTAAAAATTATCATTATTTAGCCAGTTTCTGTCAAGAATCTGATGTCTCTTTTCACTTGCATATTCCTTCACGTGTTACAAGAAATATATTTTTTAATTTGATCTTAAAACCCTTGTACATGATTGTGTACACAGTAAACAACCTCAATAAAAGACTGGCTGAGCAAATGTTAGCTTCTCAGAAGGTGCTCTTTTCTGTAGAGTTGATTAGTTTGTCATCCCATTCCATTCTGTCTTGCCTAGAACTGCAGAAACTCCATATCTGGACTTAATTTGGAGTTTATGATGATGAGAGAAATAACCATCTTCCACTATATCTCAACAGTTAATCTGTTCATGGCTTTCGTCAGTAAAAACTGTATGTTACCACAGAAATATGCAAACAGAAAAGTGAAGGGTTCTATCTCATGTAACGTTGTGTAGTCCAGTGAAAGTCAACCAGTGTTTCGGAGGAGCATGTTGCCTCCATCCTTTGGTTGAATGGTAAAATAAGGAAGAAACCAGCATGAAGCACATAGCAGGAATTAGTGTATCTTAAAGAATATACTTTTTACTAAAAGATCAGATATTTTAAAGACAGCAGAAAATTCATATGCCTTACCTCGAACTCTCACAGTGTTATCTAATTCAAGTCATGTCTTCAGTTTACATGAGAATAATAAACTATCATTATAAGAATGTTGTAGAAATATGCCGCTGGAACATTAGTTATTGGTAATCAGATTGAAATTGATTATCACTTTTATATTTTTGTCTTGTCCTGTTTCTTACAAGGTGACACATGAAATGATCTGGTATTTGATATAGTATTAATTATTCAGCCATGCAGTGAGCAGTGCTTTGTAACATGGTAACACGGTAGATCATGGAGATTAGTTCTTACTCTTCCTGAACGCTAGTGTCGTGCTGTTCATGCTCATGCACCAGTTTATACAATATGGTTCATTGGATTCAGAATGTAAATTAGCCAACAAGGAATACTGGAAGAAAGTTATTTATATCCATAATTGTGTTGTTCTTGATTGCAAGTGCAATGTGGTGGAGAGTGGTGTAGCTGTGTATGACAGTTGCTTGAAAATAATGTTTCAACGGGCAAGTGGAATACGAACAAGAATTGTATACGAGGGGGGACCCAAAAATAACCGGAACCGACCTGTTGCGCGCGCATGCTTTGTAGTTACGAGTTGTGCTGCTAGGTGGTGTTAGCTGGGGGTCTCCCGCGACTGTTAGTGAGCTGGCGTCAGTCTGAGTTAAGTGGTTTGTCTGTGGTGCTCTGTTGTGTGTGTTCCTGTTTCAACCCTTTGGCGATTAGTGAGATGGCCGACCAGAAGGAACAAAGAGTGTGCGTGAAATTTTGCTTTCTGTTAGGGAAAACTGCAGCCGAGACTGTTGGGATGCTTCGGCAAGCCTTTAATGATGATGCTTTGGGGAAATCACAGGTCTACGANACGATCCAGAATTTCTTAAAAGAATTGTGACTGGCGATGAGTCTTGGTGCTACGGGTATGATCCAAAATCAAAGCAATCATCAAGCCAGTGGAAAACTCCAACTTCACCACGACCAAAGAAAGCGTGTCAAGTGCGATCCAATGTGAAAACAATGTTGATTTGTTTTTTTGATGTGAATGGCATTGTCCACAAAGAGTTCATTCCGCCAGGACAAACAGTGAACCAACATTTTTACCTGGATGTGTTACGAAGATTACGAGAGAGTGTGCGACGAAAACGGTCCGAAATGTGGAGAAATGGGAACTGGTTGCTTCACCACGACAATGCTCCAGCCCATCCAGCTTTGACAGTCCGACAGTTTTTGACAAGCAACAACATGGTGATTGTGCCTCATCCACCTTACTCACCCGACCTGGCTCCATCGGTCTTTTTTTGTTTCCACGGATGAAGAGAAGTCTGAAAGGAAAGTGATTCCGTCATGTGGATGAAGTCAAAGAAAACACGCTAAAGGCTTTGAACAGTATCCAGCCTCAAGAATTCCAGCACTGTTTTGAGCAGTGGCAAAAGCGTTGGGACAAGTGCATTAATGCACATGGACAATACTTTGAAGGGGTCTAATATACAGTTCAATAAAAATGCAAAAATAAAAAATAACAAAAATAAATTCCGGTTATTTTTGGGTCCCCCCTCGTACAGTGCTTCAATCTCAGAAGAGAAGTAGGAAGACTTCATAATGAACTTAGCTTGGCTAACAAGATAATAAAATTATTAAAGAAAGATACGGACCTGATACCATGTTATGCTAACGTAAGTACGACTCGAGATCATACGAATGCTGATCAGCATAACATGAATGGGAATATAAGAAGTAATGAATGGCAGACAGTAAGACAACAAGAAATGGAAAAATTACATGAGGAATGATTCAGGTAAACCACAACAAATAACTACAAATATAAACCAGTTTGCAGTACTCAGCGAAATAGCCAGCGACTGTGATCAACAGAAGCAGTTAGAAGAAATAAATAATAAACCGATAGCTAGAAATAAAAAGGAATTAGGGAAAAATAAAATCATACTAATGGGGGAGTCACATAAAAGGACATGCGTCTGAATTATTGAACCAAGTGGACAAGAAATTTGAGGTTACAGGCATGCTAATGCCAGGAGCAAGATTACAAAATATTGTGCAACTGTGCAAACAGGAAGTTAACTCCCTAATTGGGATGATATGGTTATACTATGGGTTAGGCTCAAATGATGCAAATAATGAAACAATGAATGGACTTAGTCACTTTAAAGAGTTTACAAATAGGAAAAAGAATACGAATTTTATATTAATTACTGCCCCTCACAGGTGTGACTTAATGGACTCCTCATGTATTAGTGAAGAAATAGAAGTATTCAATAGGAAAATGCATAAAATAATGAAGTTAGAGAGTAATGGGAAAATACTGGAAATTGAATTGGATAGATCATATTATACCAGGCATGGGCTTCATCTCAATGTAATTGGTAAAAATAGAGTGAAAGAGATGATATTAAACCAGATATTGGAACTCTCAACTAACGACAAGGGAGACATTATTGCCCAGGGTTGTATAATTTGAATGAACCTTGCCAAGTACAGGGAAGAGATAACAAAGTCACAGAAGCCAAGGAATCTCAACTGGAAGATTGAAAAGAAGGAAAAGAAAAAGTAGTGAAAATGAGAACTTGGGTGATTGTGATTGTGACCAGACAGTGGGTCTGCTCAGAAATATTATAGAGGGAAATGACATCAGCAAACAAAGAAAGGCAGTAGAAACAATCCTTGATCAAGAAGGTGAACATAGTAAAAGAAGGAAAAGAAGGCCTCCTACCAGAAATGAGGATTTTTTATGGAAGTAAATACATCAAATTCTTCAGTGGTTAGTGATAATCGTAAAAAACAAACTGAAAATTTATCATCAAAACGTTTGTGGCCTGGGATCTAAAACTGAGGAATTAATTGCTTCATTGTATCCCGATTTACCTGATATCTTATGTATATCTGAATATCATTTAAATTTAATGCAAATTCAGCTTACTTCACTGGATGAGGATAGCCTCGGCGCTGAATTTTGCAGACAATTTTTAAATAAGGGGGGGGGGGTTGTATGTTTATTCACAAACAATTTCCTTTTTCGACAATAAATATAGAAAGATTTTGTTAAGATAAGGAGTTGGAAGCTTGTGCTGTAAAATTAAAATTACTGTCTAAAGTATTATTACTTTTTATAGATCACCTGGTGGATATTTTCAGATCTTTTTAAATGGCTTAAAAATATCCTTAAAAAGTTTACAAACCAGATATTCATTTAATAATCTGTGGTGATATAAATAGAAACTACCTAAAGGAATCTAAAGAGAACAAGAATTAAATAACATACCAAACTCGTTTAATCTTGTAAGTTTAATTCATTTTCCTACTACAATTACAGACAATTCAAGTTCTACAATTGACAGTATTTTTCTTGATACAACCAAATTTGTTAACTTTGTAACCTTCTGATTATCAAATGGCTTATTGGATCATGATGCCCAGATGTTAGAAATATGCTTGCAAAATATAAATTATAAAAGATCAAATTATAAAATCAGAACTATAAGGAAAGTTGACTCATATGCAATAATGGAATTCTTAGATAAACTGAGTGACGATCTCTGGCATAACATGTTTGGCTACACACATGTGGATGGTATTTTTAACTCTTTGTTGAATACATACCTTCAGATTTTTTGTTCACGTTTCCCTAAAATAAAAGTTTGTGAAAGAACGTTAACAAACCAATGGATAACCAAAGGTATTATAAATTCTTGCAAAAGGAAAAAGGATCTCTATTTGTTAACCAGGTCTAGTAATGACAAATTAACAAGTCATTATCTAACATATAGCAAAATCTTATTGAAAGTAATAAAGGAAGCAAAAAGGTTACACTATAATAATAAAATTACCCAGGCACAGAATAAAATTAAGACAACATGGAATGTCATAAAGAGTGGAATGGGAGGTAATAACAAATATGATAAACGTAATACAGATAACAATTGTGAATATTATTCCTTAAAAATTAATGCAGAGAAATTCAATAATCACTTTTTAAAAATATCTGAAAGTATCTCCAGTAAAATTAAGGATAAAAATAGAATTAACATCAATAGCACTACATACTCGCCATTTAACTTATCCCTCTACATACTCGCCATTTAACTTATCCCACTGCATACTCGCCATTTAACTTATCCCACTTCATACTCGCCATTTAACTTATCCCACTTCATACTCGCCATTTAACTTATCCCTCTACATACTTGCCATTTAACTTATCCCAGACTTTTAATCTTCAATACAGTAACACTGTTCGTTATAATACTTCTTCAGGAGAAATTGAAAAAAACCATAAAAAATCTTCCTTGGAAAAATTCAGGTGTTTATGATGAAGTATCCTTGAAGCTAATGAAAATTAGTGCACCTTTATCACCTCTCCCTTATGTTACATTATAAACAAATCATTATCTGCAA